TTTAGTCCACTCTGGTTTTAGTAAGGTTGGGTGGGTTGTAAATAAATAAAAATGTGTCAAATACATGTAATGGAATGATATTTCATTAATTTGAATTTGACGCGTCGGAGTGACACGCGATAAAATGGCGGATGACGTGTAAATTAATTTAGTGGATTATAGTGTAAAAAGATAGATTAAAGGATAAGTGGACATTAAATGTCGTTTCTTTGTATTTCAGAGAAACAATTTTGTGTTTTCATTTAGAAAAAATCCTTAATAATATTCCTTATAAAACGACATTTTTGTTAACTAAAAGAAGATGGACCGGCTGCAATTTGAGTTCACGATGATAGCCTCAATCGATGGCAAATCTAATATATTGGCCATAACTTCAATATTGACAGAAGAAGGAAAATGTTATGTTTTACCTGATGAACTGAAGCCGGTGATTCATCATACATATATAGTTAAATTGAACACTTTTTCAAAAATAAAAAATAGTATAAAGAAAAGGCACCAAAGCAGAAAGATATGGGTAAAATTAGATGAAGATCTAAAGAAAACATATATAGATGAGGAAGGTAATATGCAATTTTTAGATCAATATTTAGAGGAAATGAGCACAAAACAACCAAGAGGCAATGATGATAATTTGCAACATATCCTGGAAAAATTAATAGAATCTACAACAAAAAAGAAAATCAACATAATTTAAAACATGTTTCAGAGAAATTTATTATCGAAAAATTCACAAGTAAGAATCCTAATGCAGTGCAATGGATAGAGAATTTTGAAAAAGAGTGTGAGCGTTTTAATATAACAAAAGATGAAACAAAAATAGATATATTGAGATTATTTTTAGAAAACTCCAGTTTGGATTGGTATAGCTCGATGGTAATTAAACTATCAGTAAATTCTGAATGGAATGAATGGAAAGACAAATTTTTGGAAACTTTTAGGAACCAAGGGTGGGATGTAGTCACAACTGCTTTCACATTCAAGTATAAAGAAGGGCTGTTAATTGATTATGCTATAAAAAAAGAACGGCTTATACTAGACATAAATAAATCGATAGATTCCAGAACAATGATAGATCTAATTGCAACTGGTTTACCTAGTTTTATCTTGAATAAGTTAAACAGGGACGAACTCAACAACACTACTGATTTGTTCAACGAGATAAGAAAATATGAATGTATGATCTTCAAGAAAAACTCAACTATAACAAAGAATATATATTCTTATAAAAATAAAACTAATGAGAAGAAGCCATGTAAGACTTGTGAATCTTTGGACAAAGGAATTAGATATCCGGAGGAGTTATGTTGGTTCAAGAAAAATAAAAATGAATCTGAAAAGGTTTTTAAAGCCAAAAATGTAAATAATAATTCGATTATTGAAGTAGATATGAATACTGAGAAAAAAAACGAGTAAGTACACCATTAATCAAAATCAAGCTATTATTAGAAAATAAACTAGAAGTGAGCGGTGTTTATGATTCAGGCTCACAGATCTCTTTAATAAATTCAAGATTGATTAAAGTAAAAGAAAAAAAAGACAATGTGAATATAACATATATGAAAACGGTTAATGGTGTGAAGAAAACAGATGGCTTGATAACAATAAAAATAAAAATCTTTGATTTAGAAGAAGAGGTCGATATATATATAGTAGAAAATGAAGATTTTGAGGATTTTATAATCGGATTGGATATGATAAAGAAGTTCAAATTAATCCAAAATGAGGACTTGCAGATAGAACAAAGGAAAATAGACAGGATGTCTAAAGATAACAGAAATGAAGATAAGAATATAAAAATATATGCAATAAATTTCAATGAACACATAGAAACAGAGGAATTTGTTAGTAAGACAGATCATTTAGATAAAGAAAAGAAAATTGAGATAGAAGAAGTTATAAATAAATATAAAACTATTTTTGCTAGGGACAAGTATGATATAGGATCAGTTAAAGATTATGAAGCTCACATAGATTTACTTGTAAATACATACTGTAGTAAAAGACCATACAGATGTACGATAGAATAAAATTATATATAAATTAGAAATCGAAGAACAAATATCTAGATTACTAAAGAATAATTTAATAGAAGAATCTTACAGTCCTTTTGCTGCGCCAGTGACAGTGATGTATAGATTTTAGAGAACTTAATAAAATTGTTGTACCACAAGCTCAACCTTTCCCATTAATAGATGATTTAATTATTAAGACAAGAAATTGTAAGTATTTTACTACTCTTGATATAAACTCAGCATTTTGGGCCATACCACTACGGGTGGAAGATAGATATAAAACAGGATTTGTCACACAAGATGGCCATTTTCAGTGGACCTGCCTTCCTTTTGGTTTAAAAACATCACCAGCAATTTTCCAGAGAGTTTTAAGTAATATTCTGAGAAAGCACAATCTCACAGGATACTCTGTAAATTATATTGATGACATTTTAATCTACTCCTCTACTTTTGAGGACCATATAAGACACATAAAAAATGTATTAGAGGCAATAATAAAAGAAGGCTTTAGATTGAAGTTTATGAAGTGTACCTTTGCCTCAGACTCAGTAAAGTATCTTGGCCATGTAATTCAAAACAACTCGGTAAGACCGTTAAAAGACAATTTGATTTCGATAAAACATTTTCCAACTCCGAAGACACAAAAGAATATCAGACAATTTTTGGGAAAAATTAACTTTTACCATGAATGCGATTATCTTAGATCCATTACATAAATTATTAAGAAAAAACGAAAAGTTTGTGTGGTCAGAGAAGTGTGAAGAATCATTTAATCAAATAAAGAGATATTTATGTTCTCAACCGGTATTGGAAATATATGACAAAGACTTACCAATAAAAATCTTTACAGATGCATCCTTAGAGGGTATCGGAGCAATATTAAAACAAACACAACTAGACGGTAATGACAAACCAGTGGCATATTTTTCAAAAAAACTGAATGAATCTCAAAAACGGAAAAAAAACAAATATACTTAGAATGTTTTGCTATGAAAGAAGCAGTCAAATACTAGCAACACTGGCTCATTGGAAAACAATTCACTATTTACTCAGACCACAAACCTTTAGAAAACATGAACATTAAATGCAGGACAGACGAAGAATTGGGTGATCTCACATACTACCTGTCTCAATACGACTTTACGGTAAAATATATACCTGGTAAAGAAAATGTAGAAGCAGACTGTTTGAGCCGAAATCCTGTATTAGAATCAGAAGATAACAAAGAGGAATTATTGAAAATAGTTAATTTAATACAAATAAAGGATACCTATAGTTGAAGATCAAGAGCAAAATGAAACAATAGAAGAAAATAAAGAAAATCTAATACAAAAAAATACAATATATTATAAGAAAATAAAGAAACATGAAAAGATTATCCTCTCAGAAGAATTTAGTAAGAAACTTATAAAAAAGGTGCATGAAGATTTATGCCATATTGGGATCAGACAATTGCAGAAAAAAATAAGTCCAATATACACAGCTAAAAACCTAACAAAGAATATCATAAATATTTGTAAAACATGTGAAATATGCATAAAAAATAAATCAAGAGGTCAAGGAAAATTTGGATTAATGTCACAACTGGGACCAGCAACAAAACCATTTGAGATAATGTTAATGGATACTATAGGTGGCTTTGGAGGATCTAGATCAACAAAAAAGTACCTGCACCTTTTAGTAGACCATTATACAAGATATGCATTTATTGTGACGTCAAAAACACAGAATGCAAGTGATTTTATAAAACTAACAAAGAATGTACTAGAAACAGATGAGATTGGAATAATTTTGACAGATCAATATCCAGGCATCAATTCAAGAGAATTTAAGCAATATCTACATGAAAATAATGTTAAATTAATTTTTACAGCTGTGAATACACCATTCTCAAATGGCTTGAATGAAAGGTTAAATCAAACAATAGTTAATAAAATAAGATGTAGAATAAATGAGAAAAATAATAAGAGAACATGGACAACAGTGGCAAGAGAATGTATAGAGAAATATAATGAAACAGAACACTCCGTTACAGGTTTTGCACCAAAATATTTACTGGATGGTACAAATGTCAGCATTCTACCAAATGAATTAAAAATAATAGAAGGAGAAGACAAGTGGATTGCTGATAAAAGATTGGCATTAGAAAATACAATAAAATCCCACAAGTACAATAAGAAAATATTTGATAGAAAAAGAAAAATGCAAGAGTTTAATATAGGCGACAGTGTATATGTTGAGAATGGAAATAGACTGAATAGAAAGAAATTAGACGAATTAAAAATAGGTCCTTTTAAGATAGTAGGGAAAATATCGAACTCCATTTATAGGATTGACACTGGTAACAGAAAAACAGAATCAACTTTGTTCCACATAACAAAATTACAACCGGTTACAACAGAATCTGAAGAAGATGAAATATAAGGAAAACGAATATGAAGATAGCTATTAAGTATAGTGTGTAGATATATTATTCAGAATTTTTTCTCTTAGGGGGGGGAGATGTAATGGAATGATATTCCATTAATTTGGAATTTGACGCGTCGGAGTGACACGCGATAAAATGGCGGATGACGTGTAAATTAATTTAGTGGATTATAGTGTAAAAAGATAGATTAAAGGATAAGTGGACATTAAATGTCGTTTCTTTGTATTTCAGAGAAACAATTTTGTGTTTTCATTTAGAAAAAATCCTTAATAACATTCCTTATATACATATAAATATTATGTGCATACGAGGGTGGATCCAAAAGTTCTGAGCCAGACCAAGAACGTGAAAGAGTAGTTCGTGTAAATAATTTTTCATTTTTCGACATACGCTCCATTTAGCCATGACTTTGTTGGTCGACAAAATGACCTTAGCCGTTTTCGGAGTAGGTGATCCAGATATTTTCCATTGTTTGGACTGTTGCTTTGATTCAGGAGTATGGTGGTGAACCCAGCTTTCAACCATAGTAGCAAATCACGATATTATATTTGTTTACATTAATCAGAATCATTTATAAATTCATCTACCGCCCTCATACTTTCATCGCTTGAAGAACTTGATGTTTCGCTGTCAGAATTTCCCTGTTTTATTATAAGTGAGTCAGTGAAATTATCCACTTTTGGTTCTAGTTGAACATATTTTTCTTCATGTTCTCGCGTCTTTCTCCAAACGGCACTAAACATATTAAGAGTAATAGATTCTGCTTCTTTTCTAAATAACTCCTCCACATTTTTTATGTTAAACTTAGCATTTTGTGATGCAACCTTACCTTTAATAATTCCCCACAGTAACTCTATGAGGTTGAGTTCTGGATGGTAGGGTGGTAGGCGCAGTACACTGTGTCCTTGACCTTCGAGTATTTTATCAAGTACAAATTCGACATGATTTGGCTTATTTTTTTTAATAATATCATATAGTATTGGTTTTGTGTTTTTTTTCTGGATATGATATATTATACTTGTCCAACCAAGCTAACATGTCAGCTTTTCTTGTATTAGATGAGGGCGCTCGATCCAATTCGACATTATGGTATGAGGCGTTATCGATAACTAAAACTGACTGTGGTGGTAAATTTGGAAGAAGTTTTTCTTTGATCCATTTCTGATAATTATCAGCATTCATTTTACTGTGATAATCTCCTGTTTGCTTTTTTGCTGGATAGATAAGCAAAGCATCTGGAATGAATCCTAGTTCAGAGCAGGAATGAACAATCACGAGCATTTCGCCCTTGGAAATAGGTACTTTACAACCTTTGCTCGTTTTGTCGGACCATGATCGTGGCAACGTATGTGAGCTGTGAATGTAAGATTCATCCGTATATATTATAGGTCGGCACTTTAATCTATATTCTTGTAGTTTGGAAAGATATATTGTTCTTTTGAGTCTTATGTAACTTTTTTCGATTAGTAAATTTTTATTATTTTGTGTCTTTTTCCATCTGAAACCTAGACTCCGAACAATCTTCCTTAGTGTAGAAATGCCACCCTCAAAGTTGATACTGTCTTTTAACACTTCTAACAACTTTTTTCTTTCTTGATTCTTCAAGTTTTAATTACTTTGTTATTTATCAACATTTATTAAAACTTACGTAAATGTTTTAATTACCAATGAAAGGCATCATACTGCAATACTTTTCATGACTTAACAATCGAATTAATGTCTGGCAAATTCATTTTTAGTTTTTCTTATATTTAAATAACATAATATTAAACAGACATTCTAAAATACTTTGAAATTTTTATAAAAAAAAAACTTAAAATCGCGTCTGGCACATAGATAGCAATGTGAAAAATGTCTGGCAATAAAAAAAGTATGTCAGGTAGACTTATTTAAAAACTAAAAATTTAAAATTACGCTTCTTAAAATGCTTTTAAAATCCAGGTTTATTACCTGGACAGATAGGATGCGTAATAATGAACGTACCCGCTACCGCCAGCCAGATTGCCCAGACTCTAACCGAAAGTGCAAGAAGTAAGACATATCACAAAATCAGCTGACCTGAAATTCTTTCTCGAAAACGTTGCTACCTCTCGTACTATATTGTTACTTAGTTAAAAGTTTATGAAACATACCAAGTTATTAAATTGAATGAATAATATAATAAAATAATAAATAATAATAATAATTGTTATTAATATTAATTAATAAATGAATAATATATTAAATTGTTTACGTTAAATATTAATTATATTTTAAAAAAAATAAAGAAAGCCAAAGAAGTATAACTTCTTACGCGCGTACATAAGTACACGCACCCTTTTTTTTTATTGGTGCACACTTGTCGACTTAGGGTCACCTGTCAGGTCAGGATTGCGGTTTTTTCGAAATAAATAAATATAAATAATGAAAAAGACATCACTTTCTTTAAGAACTTTATTGGATACCAATGGTATTAATGTAAAAAAATAAAACTATCTTACAGCTAGAGTAACAGGTGTAAAACTTTGTTCATATAAAAACAACCAATTTTTATAAATTTAATTAATATCTATATTTATTAGAACCCATTTATAATCTTTATTATTACCTTTGAGTGATTCCTTAAACTGCTGTCCAGACATAACGTATTATAGTTTGATTTGATCAATTAAAGTTAAAACTCTCTTAAACATGCACAATGTGCGGCGTAATTACTCTGAGAAAATCGTCATAATCATAAAATTTCAAATAATCTTGTTAGTTTTTTTGTCATAACGTTTTTAATTCATATTCTGTAATTATGAAAATTGGCAGACAGACAAGCAAACAAAAGGGTTTGTTTTGAATCAAAATAAAAATAATAACATTCAATTACACAGTTTTCTAGAAAAATCACATGCTTCTATCAAATCCGTCCGATTTTTTTAAATGTTGCCGTAATATTTAGTCAATGTAGTATCCGAATATGATAAAAAGTGAATTTTGTATTTTTTTAATCCGACATTGTTCTTTGACGAAATGAAGGAGGCGACACACGTAAGACTCAATTCTCGAATATGTTATTTCATGTATTTCCCGATCAAAACTCATAATTACTCTTAAAGCAGACTGATGGCGCGATATTGAAGTACTTGGGCACGGATTCGGTCAGCCTCTTGAAAGCCGGAGTCAGACCTTCGGGATCCTGCAGTCGGTGAGCGTCGTGGCTGATCCGCACGAAGGGCTGGGACTGCAGTTCGCGCGGAACCTGAATTATTAAAATAATATAATGTAATTAATAAATACAATTGTACGACCTCTCCTACGGTACTTCAGTATAATTTATCAATAGCAAAAATTATAAAGTAACTTCAAAAAATCTAAAATGTTGACTATAGCTAACTTCGGGGTGTCGGTTTTTTGTGACGGTGTACGCGCGCATCGTAAATATTTACTCTCATCATTTTCCCCAAACGCGCCAAAAGAAGTAAAACTTCAAAAAATCGGGGAATCTCATCTCTTCTTGATCGTGCACTCTTAACAGAGGGGTCATTGTCAGGTTCTGGATATTTAATGAATAATAAAATCATCTTCATCAGTCCTCGGCCCTAACTAATTAATAACTTTGAAGTGGCGCAAGTGGAACCCAGAATCCCGCCGACCTAATGAAGGTGAGAGCAGATACTCACGACGAAAGTCAGGCTGAACACCAAAGGCTCGAAGGAGGGACTGAAAGTGGCCGTGGAGTGCGTCACCAGGTACACGGGCTGATTGGAGTGGAACGACGAGTGGTTCAGCAGGGACGAAAACGACCAGCCGTTGAGGGTCATGTTGGGGTATGGGACTATTGTTAGCGTGTTGTGGGGCGGACCTGAAAGTTTACAAATTTTTACATTACAGATAATTATTTTGAAGTATATATAGTATATTAAGAGCAGTGTTGGGCTTTCTTTCTATTATGGGCTTTCTATGTGCGCATTTAACACTCACTCGAACGGTGAAGGAAAACATCATGAGGAAACCGGCTTACCTTAGACCCAAAAAGTCGACGGCGTGTGTCAGGCACTGGAGACTGATCACCTTGCCTATTAGATTGCAAAATTATCATGAAACAGATTCAGAAATCTGAGGCCAAGACCTAAAGAGGTTGTAGCGCCACTGATTTATTTTTTTTATTTACATAGTATATTCTTTTAAATCATCGTAGTATTATGAGTTATGACATAGTTAACAAATGAATCACCAGTCATAATAAATTGCATTCTGCAAACGTCTCCCACGCAGGTCCGGCTCGTCATCCGGAGGGAGTGGTCGAACCTGTTCGGGGGTTCCATGAACAGGAAGAGGCTGTCTTTTCTGGAAATGTTCATTTTTGTTAATTCCATAAACTCGCTATCACTTGCAGACACGTAAAGCGTCGTTCAAACATCCAAACCCTAAGTTAGTACAAAATTGTCGAATCGCGTGTTAGCACTCACAAATACTCGCCCAACCTCGGCCTGTACAGAGGCAGGTTGCAGAAGGGATGCCTCTCGCAGTCGGCCTTTAAGTCTCTCTCGTTGAGGCCGCTGTTCCTCAAGGCCTCCTCGGCCGAGCGGACGTTGTGCACGTCCCACTTGTTGACGAGGATGCCGGACGTCCGCTCCACGACCGACCCGTTCCGGTCGTAAGAGACGATCTCCGAGTGCTGCAATTGGTCATTAAGGATTTATTACACGGAGATTAATAATTATATTTTTTTTAATCAGACAAATACAGTCCATTATTGATTAGTATAGTAACAATAGTTTCTTAAATCTATCTAGAGAATTAGTAAAAATAAGAAAAGTAGTAAATAAAAACTATCAGGTACAAAGCCTTAATTTAAACACTCCATCCTCTCGACTATCATCCGTAAGATGTGGAATAATGATGATATGGAAAGCAATGATGAGGAAGTACTTACGAACCACGTGTGCCTCTGAACGGCGACTCCGTTCTCCTGGTAAGGGCTGAACGGGACGAACATGATGACCACGCAGACCAGCGACGTCGCCCCCGCCACGTACCACAGACGCTTGCGGGAGAACAGGAGTTCGATTCCCGACTGAAAATATGAGTTCGTTACGAAATTGTTTATTTTATACACTAGACGTAGAAAAAAAGTGCGTGCGTACTAAGTACACATGTCAGAAGTGAAATTTCTTTAGCAAACTAATTTTGAAGTCTTGTTTATATTTATACAATTCTAAAATTTTAGAATTCTGAGACTTAAAGGGAAAGAAAAAGGAAGATATGTTAGGAATTTAATGAATTTAACTGTCATTAAAATATTAAGAGTGTCGAAAATTAATACAAATTATAAATTTAATTTATTTCTTTGATAATAAAAACACGTGGCATTTTAATTTACAATTCGTCATTTGAGATTTCAATCAATTATTTTGCATTAAGTATAAAATACTCATATTTCATAAATTATCTTTATGAAATTTTAATTTTAAAAATATAATTTCTATAAGGCAATTCGCTCTCTCTCTTCTTCGACAAAAACGCTGCACATCTTCGTGACGTTCCATAAAAAATTTACCCTCATGCGCCTAAAGAAGTTTCACTTCAAAAATTTACTTGACATCATTTTCTCTCAGTCAGTAATTTGCAATTTCAATAGTAAACATTGATTCAGTGATTTTTTTAACTTCGCCGAAAAGAATTAACAACCGATACCTGATGCTTACCACACAAACGGCAGTGAGCACGCACAGCAAGCAACTGGCGGCGGCGATGACGTAGTCGGGTTGGCCGTTCGGCAGCCGTCCCATTATCGGCACCAACAAGGCCGACAACCGAACCGCCAGAGGTAACACGAACAACAACGCGGGCGTCGAGACCGACACTTCTATTAATAAGTGTTGCCAGCCTGGAAAATCAAAATTGTATAAACAATAGGAACAATATCAAATTTAAAAAGATTTATATAATAGCCACGTCGATAAAGGTGTAGGTATATAGGATTTTTGAAGTTATACTTCTTTAGGCGCGTTATGAAAAGTTGATGAGAGTGAAATTTTACGATGCGCGTGCACCGTGACACAAAATTATCAGTATGAAGTTGCCCACGGAAGATGCTACGGCGTTGGACATAATTTAAAAACAACATTCGAATAATAATAGAATTTATGTTACACTTAATGTAATAATAATAAATATTTATTTATTTAATTTTTCAAATGAAACTGAACTTAATTGACTATAATGACTCCTTTTCCAGTCTTTGATTATTTAATTGTAATTAATTATTTGCATGCAATCAAAAACTATTTTTAATAATGCCAAAGAAGTATAACTTCTTACGCGCGTACAAAAGTACACGCACCCTTATTTTAAATATATATTGATCTTTCTTTATTAATTATAATTATTAACTACGAGAACTCACCCGAAAGTCGAAAATATCTCAACATAGTGAGAAGAATGATACTGGCACAAGTCGAGAACAAAAGCGGGACGGTCAGCAGATATCTCACGGAAGCCGTGTCGGGCGTCACCAGCAGAACCGCCAGCGCCCCCAGCACCAGGAGCCTGGTGGCGGCGGAGGCTTGGCTCGCGCGGATGCTGCGGTTCAAGCCCGTCTGCAAATAAAGGTTAAATTTTAGAGCTAAAGGCAAAATATGACGGGGATGGGAGAGTAAGACGGAGATACCTTCTTAGTTCTCCACGAGTCGAACAGGTGAGCCGCGGCGGTCGCGGCTATGATGTACGGAATCCAGTACACGGCTACTATTATCCAAGGCTGAGAGAGGTATCTGGGGGTATTAGAACACAAATATTCATTTTGGAAATGGACAAAAATATTAAAGATGAGGAGTACAAATAAATAAATCTGCGGGACCTCATCTGAGTCGTAGTGGCGACCATGAGCACCGTGCAGAGGGCGACCACGCCCAGCCCGCAAACGGTGCACAGTATTCGGCCGGCCAACGCCCAGAGAAGCTCTTGTATCGTCGACATGCCTGTGAGCATTGTTTTGGATTTTCGTTTTTAAAAACATTTTTTCGAAATAAATTCAACTCGACTCAAAATAACTTTATTAATATAGGTAAACAAGTACACCTATGAATGTCAGTAAAGAAGTTAAATTAATTCGAGATTTACATTTACTCCAGATCGCAAGAGCAGAAGAAACTCTCCGCCACTCTATCTCAATTATTACTCAGACGCGTGCCAGTTCAAACTTTAGCAAAAATAGAAATACTTTCAATAGCTACTTCCCGAGGTTTTGACAAAAAAATCAGATTTCTGTATCTGTTTCATGATAATTTGGCAATCTAATAGGCAAGAAGGTGATCGGCCTTCTACGCCTGACGCACGCTGTCGACTTTTTGGGTCTAAGGCGAGCCGGTATTTCGTCATCGCACGAGAACATAAAAAGAAAGTCCATCGGTGAACAGCCGGGGATCGAACTTACGACGTCAGGGAAGAGAGTCGCACGCTAAAACCACTGAGCCAATACTGATTTCGAGGTTTAGAGAAATGTATCCGTTTTCGATTCAGTCGAGGACCGGGAAGACAATCGTTAAACGAAGGAAACTCACGGAAGCCGACGAGCCAGATGTAGTACAGAATAGAGAGAGCCGCGAACAGACACACGAACGTGTCTACGACGTACGCGGCGTTGTCCGAGTACGTCACTAGTATTACGTTCATGTAGTCGAAGTACACCGCGCTGGAGGGAGGTTTCTGAAATTAAATTCCTTTTTAAAGGCCACGTTTCAGAAACGAAAGTACAATGTAAGTATTAGCTATTATTTTCAAAAGTGTTATATAGTTAGACGTCATGTGAAAATATTATTTAGGTTAAATGACATATTTCCTCAATATTTTCACAACTTTGAAACGGTTTCAGCTAACTGCGTTTAATGAGAGGCTCTAGAAAAGGTTGTCAGGAGGCTAAAACATTTCACAATGTTTAGAAAACCCGTTTTCAGACATTATCGGGACCCCATCGGTGAAAGAACATTCTAGAATGACCGTGATTTGTGCGATTACGTGCTTTTCCCCCCGATCTGAACCCGCACAATACAATATATATTCACCATTTGCTTGAACGCGTCGTCGTCGCACAAGCGGATGATCAACTCCAGCAGCATGTCTCCGGCGCACTGGACCACGCCCGGCTTCACGTGCTCGATGCGATCGTTACGCGTGTGGTACACGTGGCCCCATTTCACGAACGCTATGTCCAATCCTGAAAAGTTTAAAACAAATCGATAATACTCTGATTGAATATTGTGATGATATCATTCGGAAACGACATCTAGGCGAACTGACCTTGGACGTTCCCGAAGTCGCGCCATATTCTAAAATCGGTGTCGGAAGGAATGACACCGGTGGAGAACAGGAACTGTCCGACGCTCTGTCCGGTGGGCCGATTCGTGTGTCCGTACGCGGATAGCATACGCGGGTCGGTGGCCTAAAGATATCGCGAAACATGAATTCCTTTGGAGAAAAGTTGATAACGAACGAGTACAAAAGCCATTACATTATTACACCATTTTTCAAATTATGAGAAAATTCAATCACATTAATATACTTCTATAAATCCCGACGGCCTTAAAATTCAGTTCTAGAAATAAGATTTTTCTTGTAAAATTGTCTTAATCTAAGCAATAATTCTTGGCACAACAAAGAAAAGAGAAAAAAACAAATGCTAACCTGAAAAACTTGGGCTTTCCCGTTCATTCCAGCTGAATCCAAATTGATGACATTCGTGACGCCTTTGAACCAAGGATGAGAAATGAAGCCATGGCTCCCCTGAAAATAAAATGACAAAAGCCATTTCAACTTGACAGCTACAAACTTCCTTCCGATTCGAATCTGTCTTAACTTCATAAATAAAGATTATCCGTATTAAATTGATTCAAGAAACCTCTTGGCCTCAGATTCCTGTATCTCTTTGATTCATTTGTTTGTTCTATTAGAATTTTAGGATCTAAGGCAAGAAAAGCCGGTTTCCTAACGATATTTTCTTGCGCCATACGAGCGACCGAACCGACACCGAAAGAAAGATTTTAGTTTTTGAAGTGGCGCGTTAGGGAAAAATTATGAGAATAAAGCTTACTTCCTATCTTCAAATTTAAATAAAACAAAATTTGTGTTAGATATCATCAAAATTTTTATTGGTTTGAAAGGCCTATCGATGATTATTTGAATATAACATCGTTCAAATGTCCGCCCCGGCCCCCTCTCTCTGGGTGGCGCGCATCCGAAATGTCCAATTTTCCATGACGCTGGTGCATAAATCAGGCTAATTTGACCGATGGCATGGGTTATGTTGGCTTTGAGGGCCCTTGGTTTGTGGCTTAATTTTGTACGGTCAGGCCCAATCACGACTCAAATTCCCGTTGTGGTCTGTGAAACCCAGTTCTTGTGAGCGACCAAATCGACTGCCTCGGATTCTCCTCATCTCTCACGGACAGCGGCGATGTTTTCGGTAGATCTTGCGTTTCGTCGACGTACGGGTGTTGGTTGATCGTTTACTGAACCAGTGGACTCAAATTTATCCACCACACTGCGAATAGTCCTCCTCGGCTAGGACGATTATGGCGCCCGTAAAATGGGCGAAGCGCGGAACGTTGCCCGAATAGAACACCCATTTTGATAAAACAATTTTATCATTTGCACGTGTTGTTGAACGCTATATCCATCCATGGTGATTTGGCAAAACAGACTGAATAAATGACAGCCAATTTGACAGATGTAGCTTCAAGAAGATGGCCGTTATCAACTGTAAAAGTTCGAAAGTCCCTATTGAAAGACCCTTTAAATTTATACGATGCGCGCGCACACCGTCACAAAAAACCAACACCCTGAAGTTAGCATAGTCAACATTTTAAAGTAAAAAAATGTTAATTTCTTTAATTATGTAGACATATTTTTTTAAATGATATTTACATAAACTTTATTTAACTAGATAATGCATTATAATAAAACTTTCAATTTATTAAATACCTTTTTTCAACAAACGTAGAATAAAATTTTTGAAAAGATTTTTATAGTATTGTCTTTGATTAACATAACTTTTATTCATTTAATAAAACACTATTTTGACCGGATTGAAGTTATGTATTATTATAAATTTACAACTATATAACATAATTTTAAATTTATCCGACGTTTCGCGTGCTTTACAGCGTGCGTGGTCACCGTGACCGTTTACACCGTTTTATTAAAAGATTTTTATCTTGTTACGCCAAAGATGTATAACTTCTAACGCATGTACATAAGTACACACAATTTTTTTTTTTGTAATAGAATGCACGATAAGAGGTTCCACTGATTTAAATTAACCCCGAAAGTTACATTTTATACTAATTCAGCCAACGAATGTTTAGTAATTTTTCACCTGCAGAGGATTTTCTTCGGCTCCATTAAATAGAAACACAATATTGTGTTTGAATTTCTTCTTTCGTCTCGACAATCGCACTAACACTTCCACCATCGCCGCGCAAAATATTCCATTATCGGACGCTCCTGCAAACATCATTTCGAAGCCTTATTTATTAGTTATTTTATTTGTAGGGGTCAATTAAGAAATAAACAACTAAAGGAATCGAGCGAGAGCTGAAAGAAATGATGATGAGAAAAAATTGAACATAATAGAATGAAAAATATCTCACCTATCGCATACGGGACAGAATCATAGTGACAGTTGACCAATAGTGACTCTCGCGTACTCCCGTCGGGATTGAACCCACTGTCTCCCTCCAATACGGCCGCTATGTTCGACAGGTTCTGGTACACATTGGCGTGTGGGATTTTAAAATCAATCCAGAAGTCACCTGAAAAAGCAAACTTGGTTGATGTTATTTACGATTTTTCAAGGATATTATAGTTAATAAGTCGACGACTTACCGGAGACGAATTGCCAATCCGTCCTAACGGGTAGGCTGGCTTTGCTCGCGACATCGTCTAACAATTTTTTCAAATCTTGCGCCTTTTCCAAGTGGTACTTAGTACCGGCCACCCGTGGCTGATCCCCCAGAATTATATTTAAATACCTCCGTGCGGATTCCTCGCTGAACGTGTTCGTGTTCTGAAAAATACAAAACATTTTATTAAAAAGTACACCTGTTAAGCTTGTACAACAAGTTATACATTAGCTAAGGAGTTCTTACTCATTGATTATGAATAAAACTCAGCTCAGCAAAGAAAATGGATTCTAGTAACGGAGGAGTCGGTATAAATTGGACATTTCAACCTTCCTAATTGTAGTTCATTATTTTATTTTATAAAACACAATTTCAACATTTTAGGTAAGAATATAATATGAGGAATATAATTATTGGATGCTATTCGGAGAAAACTACTTACATTGGCCGCTATATCTCTGTCTCTTATTACTGCGGGCATGGCATCTTCTGCAAGTTGAGCGCAGTATCCCAATAGCAAGTAGAAACCCAGTAGAAGTAGTATATAGGGGCTTGGTACCTGAACACCAAAATGTAACCAAGTTTTATATTATAATAGGGAGCGAATTCTACTACTTCACTTAGGTACCTTCTTTTTGAAAGGAATATGACATTTTACCACTAGGCTTAAAAACTAAAACCTAATTAAACCAATTTTTCGCTAAGAGCAATGATGTCGCGGCAACCGGCATCGAATATTGGTTCCAGGCTTTTATCAAAAGTAAAGCAACTAAGCAAGATCAGTCAAAGGATATCGAATATTTACATTTATTAAAAATAACACTTGTTCATGCAAATAACTCACACATACACAAGGCACCTTAAATATAAGGAATGAAGGATGTTAATAACGAAGAGAGAATAAACAAAAGCAAACTTAACCCATTCGAAAAGAAACCTTCTGTTCATTCACATAATCAGATTTAATTTCAACTTTCACATTTACAACACATAATTATCCTTACAGGTCCATTCACCAAAAAGCTACTTACAGATTTCACCGGCTCGTATAAATGCGTGCCTTTTTTCGCCAAAACATCTATCGCCTAGAACATTAAAGTATAAAACCTGTAAAAATAATTAGTGACAATCTTTGCCAAGCAAAACCAGATATTATTGTTTTATAATGACATCTTAAGCTGTTTCCAAATTGGTATTACATACTTTAACCATAATAACAAACATAAAAAGAGGAAATTTAGTGTATTTTTAATGAACAAACTAAAAAACTACTAACCCAAATTCAAAATCTAAAAAAAAATTCTAAGTTACTTTATCAGTGTGTGTGAGTTAAGTTACTATATTTTATTTGTATAAACTTAAAAAAATTGTACTCTATACTCCTGAAGTAATATCCTATAATTTAAAAAGCCTTTTCTATTACACCAAATAATTCAAATTAATAATTAAAAATTATAGTCAAATCAAATCTTAATTAGATTTGTCCTTCTATTCAGCAAAATTTATTTAATTATTATGTAAGTGAATAAAATGAAAAAAAAAAGCCTTTATAAATTAAAAGAGCAAGCAACATAAGAATTTTCTATAATAACAATTAACTACAGCTAGTTAAACCAGTTACCAAAATTGTTAATTTATGAAAAGCACAACAGGACTGATTAGTCAACACAAATGTGTAAAGCCTGGAACTAAAGTTAGCTAATATCATAAAAAAAAATTTTTTTGCTTAAAAACATCACAATTAAATGCAGGTTCAGAAATTAACCCGCTGCCATGGCTTCTCTTGCTTAGCCTCATCATAGTCCATTGAAGGGACGCCAGCGTATGGCTGCTTAGCCGTCTGCAAAAAAACCAATCTAAATCTTTATCTTATATCAACTCTTTGAAATGTCACTTTTTAAATACTTTTTCCAATACAAATATTGTACATATTTTATTATATTAAAGTAAACAACAAACCTATTTCAAATTTTAATATATCTACCAAAAAATTTTATAAAGTTTTAGTAATAAAAAGGAAATATGTATTATTTTACAATAAAACTTACAATGGTATCTTCTATGTCCATTTTAACACAATAAACTAAATAATCTTGACTCAAATGCTATCAGATAAGTTAATCTTAAAATATACTTGAAATAAGACATTTATAACTGGCCTGAAGATAAAAAAATGTGTTGTTTCTTTTTAGTATGATACAATTAATATCAATATTATTAAAATGGTCCTTTTAGTAAAAATTTAAAGTAATCTACATATCGACGTAGGAAAGCACATTTGCTGTAAGTAGACATATTGCAATTGTTCACCAGAGCCAATTTATTAATTCGGAAAAAAATTAATAGTGTCGAACCTACCATCCATTATATTGCTACCTTTTGAAACATATATTTATTTAACTGCCAGTCACCATTGCAATGTAAACTTTTTATCCAAAGTTACTATAAGTACGTGTTTGGGTAGTTACAGCAAACAGTTTTTTAAATCACATACCTTTAAAACGCTGTAACTAAGGAAGAAATTACCGCGGAATATTATCAATTTACAGGCGGTAAATATGCTGTATGCAGTAAATTTATGTATTTGGGTACTTTCAATTGCAATTCAAGATGTAAGATTAGTTTATAATTATGATTAGATCTAGAAATGCAGTGGGCTTGGTAATGTAATGTTTGGTTGAAATAAAATGTCGTAAATGGTAAAAAAAAACCAAAACTGTAGGTTCCCTAAACTTGCTGTAAGTAAACGAATGTAAAAATCACACGCCGCTGAAATGCAGTAAGTAGCGTTAAGTTTTTAAATGGGAGGAAGTAAGTATTTGTAAAGAAAAAAATGCAGATTTCTTTTGCTGTAAGTGCAAAATGTCTAAAATGACTAGATTTTGGTCTACAACGCATTTAATCTTGCTAAAAATAATATAAGTACGGGGTTTTCAACGGCTATGTAATTTTTTTCATCGTAGAGACACAGGACCCAGGTCATTTGATGCGGCTTTTTTCTGATTCTAATGGCAGGAAAAAGTCACTTTAGGTATTTTGTCTACTTACAGCAAATATGCTTTCCCCCTACGTCGATATCTGGGGTTTTATTAATAAATAAATAACTAACCTTGACATATCATAACTAAAATACATTATTAAAAGGAGTCCTTTAGGCAAGGTTCCGAAGATACTGGCAGCATTCCCCCTTTGAATAGCTAGACTTATTATATGTCCGAGGTAGCTGCCAGATCTTTGGTCTCCTGTGATATTGACTATCTGGGCTTATAGAGTGTAGGAAAATATAAGTAAGGAAACCAGCACGGTTTAAGTACAAAAATTTTACTGCATGTGTCAGGGACAGAAGGCTGATTACCTACTCTCCTATATGATAAATAAAGCATAAAGTACAAGTAGGTTATAATTTTAAAATTCTCTTAAGAATTTAATGTTCTGCATGATATTCCTTTGTACACATTTAAAAATGTTATATATTTTTCTATGACAGTTTAGCTTGTATAATAATTTAGAAAAATATTTTTACTCTTCTTAAATCAATTTTATATCGAGCACTGAATTGTCTAATAAATCTGCAGTAAATATTTTAATAACATAAGAAAGACCCTGGGATATATAATATTTATTTTGGAATTTAATAATAGGTGGTGGGAAAAAGGAATACACATAGTGTAATAAAACATTAAGGAGTTATTTTCTCGAAACTTGATAACTAATCAAAAAAAGACTTACCAGCGATGTCCGGATGCTTTTCAAATTGCCTCGTTCGACAGACATGGTTGGTTTTATATTTATTGTTATTACACTATCAAGTATCACCACACAACTACATCGCATTATCACATAATTACAAGCATTACAAATATTTTACTACTATAAAAAATTAGATTTTATTTTAAAAGAATGTTTTATTTATCTATTAAAAATATATAGAAATTGGAGTTTGAAGCAGTGTTACCAGAATATTTTTTCTACAATCGCCTCGCCGGAGCGCTCGTGTAGCCCCGAGATAGCCCCATCATGGCACACAGGTAGTTAAGGCGGGAAAGTTGAAATAAATTTATATAACACACATTAGTAGTGACGCCACTGGTACTCGGATTTGAGATAAATTGAATAAAATAATATCGCCGCTCGGTAAGGGAGATAGCCCCATTGGCGCTAAATAGCCCTATCTGGCAACACTGGTTTGAAGTTCTGTTCGAACTTCGGGAGTTTTTTTTTCACAGAGTAACACAGATTAGAAACATTAATGACTTACTAATCACTATCACTATAGATTATGTTATTGCTTTTAAATTAATTTATATAAATTATATAATTTTTTTCAGTGGATGATCCATATATATTTTTTTATTTTATAATTTGGTAATTACAACGTTTAGGTCAACAATGATCCATATAGATTATGTCCACAGAAAAAAATATAACTAAGGGTTAAAGCTATGGTTTCCTAAAAAACCTACGGTGCCGTTATCTAACGGCCGTAATGTAGCGTTGGGTGACGCCACCCATACGTTATCTATAAATAACATCGGAGTAGGTTTCCAAGAGAACGTTGAGTGTCACCGTAACGTCAAAATTCATATAGCGGTGCTGTCATTTGTATGACGGTCATCATAGCGGTGATAAACAGTAGTTCAACGTTTATCGCGTGTAGCGGTGCGCATATTTAATTAATACAATGAGTGGATACGTGACTTGGACGAGCGAAAATGATGAACAATTAATTGATTTTGTTAAAAATCATGAAGCTTTATACAATATTAAATCCAAAGACTACAGACAAGCTCAGATGAAGCAAAATTTGTGGAACGAAATTGGAATAACACTTCAAAAATCAGGTGTGTATAGTTATAGTACTAAAATTCAGTTAAGATGACGCTACACCCGCGTGTTGTCTTCGTCAAACATACAACATAACAAAAACTGTTTTGCGCGGGAAAGGACTGAGAAGACTATTACTGTAGTCTTCTCGGTTCTAACTAAGAAACAATTTTTTTTTATTTTTCCGATATAAAAACTAAAAAGTTTTTACTGTTTAAAAATGCATTATTTCAACAAATAAATAACTATTTTTGTATTTGTGATATCGGAAAAACAAAAGCGATGTTGCGCAGTAAGTGTTCTCATCTTTACAGTGTGAAAATTTCGTTTCTTAGTTATAACTGTAGCCTTTTCGGTCATTACGGCCGTTAGTAACGGCACCGCTTTTCTAGGAAACCGTAGCCTAAGACGGAGACAATACATGCGGGTGTAGCGTCCTCTCTAGTGAAAAAATATTTATTATTTAACAAATGAATTATAAAACCAATTTTTTTAAGATTAAATTAAATTTATTCAAAATTATTTCCAATAAAATTTAGAATAGTATAACATGTTGGCGTAGATACTATTTCAATTTTCAATAATAATTTATTTTAGACTAGCTGACCCGTCAGACTTTGTACTGCCTCAATCAATAAATAAAAGACCTTTTGTATAAAATAAACTTAAAACAAACAACAGGAATCCTTTTTTTATTAAAACAAATAAAAAAATGCTCAGTATGAATGAAGTTTTATTATTATTTTCGATGAATTGAATTTAAGAATATTATTTTATCTTGTTCAATACTTGTTACTTGATGCACCATTTTGATATTAAAATGGTACCCACCTTCCCCTGCCAAAAGATTTATTTATTTTCCTCGCATTTTCAATTGTATCAGTATCAAATCAAAGGTATGATAAATATTGTAATGCATCATAAGTCCTGTGTGTTTCAGATACACATTGTAAATCATTATTTATCATATTTTCAATCATTATTCAAAATATAACCATGTAGTCAAATCATTATTCCAATGATGAAGCACAATATCTCTAGATTGTAAATTTTCTCTCAAATGACATGACAACGGCCACTACTTCAATGGTGGGTGAATTAAACCTCTTGTGTTAGTCAGCTCGAATGACAATATTATGGCTGTCAGATGGCATCCGATCCAATGCTGTTTTGTACATGTTTACTAAATTGTTGTTCTGATGAAAAAACATTTGTAATTCTTGGACCATGGTTCTCTTCACTGTTGGATTGTGAACACCACTTATCAACTTCCACATCTGAATTACCCATAAAATTATTTGAATTTTTTGGGTCCATAATTTGTAAAATTGATTATCTGTATCCGGTAGTGTTAACAGTGCCCCAAGTAAGTGATAAATTTATTGTGGTACCTGTAATTTTTAAAGATTTGTCCAATAATTATTTCCGATATATATTTTAATACAAACTTGAATGTTATAAAAAAAAATATTATGGTATGATACCTTGAAAGTGGGCATGAAATTGTCCTGTATAATATGTGTAGCACCAAACAATGATATCTGGAAACAGCTGTTATATTTCTGAATGTTGGCCAAGAACTGCTTAGAATCATTTCCAATCCAAGAAACTAAAGAGCGTAAAGGTTCTGGTGGTGAATGGTGGTAATTTTACTTTGCCTCCAGTCGATTAAACACTATTTTAACGCCTTACAATATTTACAAATTATTGTCATTTCCCCAATTGTTACCACCACAATAATCTATTGCCAGATTATAGTGGAATGCAGCACAATCTCAGGAGCACTTCGTTCTTGTTGCATTCTTCATCGTCACTCACCAAAGAACGCAATTATGACATAGCTGTACGACAATTTTGTTGATCAGTCTCTCTCTGGTGATCAGTGCGGTTAGCACGTGAAGTAGCTTTTCGCAAATTTGATTGACTGCGACGACCTAAGTCAGCTCGTCTTCTCCGGCATCGTTAATTATAATTAATCAAAGTGAGAAAGAGTTCTCGCGCACTTAGCAGTAAAGTGTCACTATCACAAAAGTTCAACAAAAAAAGAGCACATAAGTTGAAATGTCACTATCAAAAGGATAACCGAAGTAAAGAAATTTCTCGCGCACGTATCGGTAATTGTCACGTGGAAAGATCAAAGATGCACTTTTTAACTGAGGTATCGATTATAAAAGATGAATTGACATATTAGTTGGTTGTCAAACGTCAAATATTACCATTGCGTTCAAAAATTTAATTTGATAGATAGATTGAAATCTTAAGTATAGTCATATACTTAAGATTTATCAATCTACATAAAATAAAGTTTATTTTTTACCTCCTAAGAAAGTTAGAAACATATAAAATTTCTAATTATTTTTCATTTTAAACTATTCTTTCAATTTGATTTCTGAACGACTAGGGCACATCAAAGGAAAAGCAAAATTGTTGTTTTTATTTAATTCCTAGCATTTTTATATATGTTCAAACCTTTTTCAAGATACTTTAAGTAAAAGTAATTACCACAATAAATATATAAAATAATAATCACAATTAACGTTGCATTGCATAACTATGCTGCCACTAAACAGCCCCTGGACCGTTGAAATAATTTTTGAATATCTCTCGAATTTGAGTGTGATTCATTTTGGCACGTGTACATTATAGTGCGTTTTCCAATTACAGAGCATTTTCACCATATCCCATATTGCTGAAGCTTAATTGAACGTAATTAGTTTTCAAATCATCAGCAATCCTAGTTAGTTTGACAAAAAAATGGTCTGAATAGAGTCAGCAACCTCATTAATGTATAAATAATGTGGTAAACAATAATAATTGGTTGAAAACTTGTTACGCTTAATTTAACAATCAAATTATTTCATTAACATTTTTTTCCTGAAATAAGAGAAAACCTTTAAAGAATATAAGGTTTTAACAACTAAATTAACAGTAAAATATTTAGTTTCATGTAAGAAGTTTACATCGTTTACGTTTTGAGTAATATTTTTTAATGATTTCTAAAAAAAATATATACTTTTTCAAAACCATTGCAATTTTTTCTAAAGTATAATCCTGTAAAGTAAATTTGTTTACAGATCCGAATTTTAACATAAAATTGTATTCATATTTTAAATGTGGAATATAAAAAAAGTAACTATTTATACCTTCATCCATACTAATATTTATTTTTTTTAGCAGTTTGAAATAACTTTAATTATTTTCAAAATCTACGACGAAACGAAAGCCTTACAAATTTTTCAACAATAAATAATATTTACTAACGAAAATTTCGATAAATGCCAACTTAAAGAAAAATACTGGTCAATTTTCTGTCACTGTGTTGGTATCGTTTGCGAGAAGCTCGCGAGAGCATTCGTTTTGAGAGTGCTCAATTGTGCGAAGCATTGCTGTAGTTGGAACACTCGACGTTGAGCATTATGCCGCAAAATGCGCTCTAGTGCTGTAATTGGAGAACGCACAATGTTCTGTTATGGGGATTAAATTTTCAGTTGGTAGTGGGAGTGCATCATCAAAATGTTTTTGACGTGGACTTTTGCTCCCCGTAAAATATAATATAATATGCATGCACATGTAATCAATTTGTCTGTAGTTTCTGGGGCAGTAGCAATAGGTAGAAAAAATAGTCTGAAATAACCGCATAAAATTCCGAAAGTATTTTCAGTGGTTCTCCGAGCTCTAGATAGTCGATAATTATATACAGCTTTTGATTGATCATAATATACAGATTGCGGTCTTGGATAAGGTTTCATCAGGTTTTCGTGCAAGCAAAAGCTTCACCCCCTACAATGACATGGGGTACAACATTATTTGTTCCGGGTATAACTTTTGGTGCTGGTATATTGAATGTATTAATTTTTATCATTTTCCCTATTTGACTCTTTAGGTAAATACAAGCATCTTCCTCTCTACCATAGGAACCAATATCAACAGCATTGAATTTACAATCCGCGTCAACGACTGCTAGCAAAACGATTGAATAGTACTCTTTATAGTTAAAATATAATAATCCACTTCGTTTGGGAGCCTTTATTCTTACATGTTTCCCATCTATCGCTCCAACACAGTTCGGGAAATTCCATTTTGAAAAAAATTTACTGCTGTTTTGTCTTAGTTGATTTTCTGTAGGCGACGGTATAGTCAACTCAAACATCCTTTAATAATTGCCTCAGCAACTTCTTTTATTATGACACTTATCCAGGAATGACGAACTCGATATTTAAAAGCTAGTGACCGAAAAGATTCTGTGGGCAAATGTCTGAAATAAGAAATCAAATTACAATTTGTGTTTTAGGTTCTGACTGCTGTAAACGATGGGCCTACGTAAGGGATTATTATATTCGGCGTAAAGGTAAACCTGGTTCAGGTGGAGAGGCAGCAAAGAAAAGGTCTGTTCTCCTATCATTCTTAGATAGCCTTCCTTCATCACAAAGACATAATACAATTTCTGACAAAAAACTGGATGCTAAGAAAGACAACATTATGAGAGATAAGAAAAAGATAAAATTAACACACTCTGAAGAACGATTACAGATATTGAAACAAATAACTAAACGAAACTCAACTCCTGCTCAAAATGAATTGGACGAAACTGACCTTTTCTTTAACTCGATAGCAAAAATTGTAAAGAAGCTTCCTCGATATGAACAAGTGCAATTAAGGATGCAAATTTCGTCATTGGTCGGTAATGCTGAATTAGAAAGTATTTTAAACGATTCAAGACAGACAGATTCATCAACAAGCCCAAGTTCAACAATGAGCTTCATACACTTAGAAACGGTGCCATCTCCAGCAACAAGTGGAACGTCAAATTACCAAGGACAAATAGTGGAGATGGACGGGTCATATGATGAGAGAAAAGAAGTAAAAATAGAAGAGAATCTTAACGGAAACGAAAGAGAGGCAGGCAGAAAAGATGGAAGAACAATAAAAAAAGGGAGCGCGTCCATTGTGGATTCGAAACGCTAGAACTCCACGATTGGAAAAATTCAGCGGAGGCCTTTGTTGAAGGACAAGCTGTTATATAAATAACTGTTTACCGATAGATAATAATAATAATTTTTATTTATTTTCTCATAAAAACTTTATACATAGAGCACAATATGACGAGTGATCACAAAGAGATGGAAGAGGTGTTTCAGAAAGTGCCCTTAGCCTAACAGAAAATTACCAATTTTTTTTACATCTGTAATTAACAACCAGTGATTAAAGTGGCCAGTGGACAATCTCGCGAGATAGATTACAATCAAACGGTGTTTACAATTTTACGGTGACACATATGACATTACGAATGAACATGACATTCATAAACATATATTTAATTTTTTTTCACACGAAATTGTTTTGATTATTTTTCCAACCCAAATATCGACCAATAGAATTGCACCATTCGACGTCACGTGGTACAACCTACATGGTATTATACTGATAATTTTTTGAAAATTTTCTCTGGTAGTTGTTTTATTCATTATGAAATTCTTATTTGTTAACTGTACATTTCGTCTCATGGTGCAATTCTATTGGCCCCGACATTTGGGTCGGGTCGGAAAAATATTCCCCGAAAACCAACCACCCCAAAAAAAATTCTCCTTTTCCCCCCCCCCTAGGTTCCCTGCAAACAAATAAAGTCGTCATGTTTTGAAAATGAAAAATCGTCCTTCATTTGTTTGCAACGAACCTATCGGGAAATACCCGATAATTTGAGCTCTTAGTGAAAATTTTCATATAATATTATGTGTTTTTTTCATTATGTTTATCATGTTTTGTTGAAATTTATTTTATTTTAATTTATATCTTTATTTTAATAATAGGTAATAATACATATACGTATTATTAAAATAACAAAAACATGGAAAGGATTTTTTCTTATTTATTATTAATGTGTTTTGTTTTTAAAAATTTAAAATATTTTATAGTTTTAAGTTCAAAGGATGGACTGAAAAATCATTAAAACTTACAACAACATACTTTTAAGAATCAATTAAGTTACTTAACGTTTTATTTATAAAAATAAAACGTTTCTTTTAAGTGGTTGTTATAATTTATTACGATATATTATAATATTAGGTCCTTACATATGAAATTGGCGTTTTGTATGGGAGGAACAAAAAGTCGAATATTTTTAAATATAATATATTTAATTAATCAAAGTATGAACCATTGTTTTCTATGCACTTTTGCCATCTCATAGGTAGTTCATTGATCCCTTTACTAAAAAAACCAGTCGGACGGGAATCAATAAAATCTGTGAAGGCGATTTGGACTGCCCCATCAGATTTAATTTTTTTCCCTTGCAAGAAGTTGTCCAAATTTGGAAAAAAAATGGTAATCTGTTGGAGCAAGGTCCGGGGAGTACGGAGGATGTATTAGACATTCCAATTGAAGCTCTTCTAATTTGGTTGCCGTCTGTTGTGCAGTGTATGATCTAGCGTTGTCGTGAAGTAGCAGTGGCGTGGAGCGATTGACCAGCCTAGGTTGTTTAGCCGCTAGCTTTTCCATCATCTTGTTAATTGCCAGCTCTTGAGGTATCTAGAGAGCCACCAGCTGATTATCAGTACGGCTTTCGTCGTGGTCGTTCGGCTGGTGACCTTCTTGTATACCTTACACATAGATGGGCAGAAGCAATTGAGTCCAAGGGGGAGGCGCTAGCGGTTAGTTTGGACATAGCGAAAGCCTTCGATTGGGTGTGGCACAGAGCACTGCTCTCGAAGCTCCCAGCCTATGGGCTACCCGAGAAATTATGCGATTGGATCTCCAGCTTTCTGGCCGATCGGAGCATCAAGGTCGTCATCGACGGAGCATGTTCCGACCTTAAACCCGTGAACGCGGGGGTCCCACAAGGCTGTGTTCTATCCCCGACCCTGTTTCTTCTGCATATCAATGATATGTTGCAACTTAGCAGCATTCATTGCTATGCGGATGACAGCACTGGGGATACTCTTTACACTGGCCGGGCAGGTATTTCTCGGGCAGTTGTCGATGAATACCGGAACAAACTTGTGTCTGAAGTCGAAACTCTACTACGTGGAGTCTCAGACTGGGGCAGACTAAACCTATTCCAATTTAACCCCAAGAAGACACAAGTTTGCGCGTTTTCCGCTAAAAAAACACCCTTTGTCGCTACTCCTCTTTTCGAAAACACTCTTCTTAAAGCCACAGCCAGCATTGGAATACATGGCGTTGACATATCGAACGACGTTCAGTTTCGCTAAATAGGCAGGCGTTTCGTAGGCTAAATTAGCCTCCAAAAAGCTTGGTGTGCTCAGCAAGGCGAGACGGTACTTCACTCCGGGCCACCGCATGCAACTATATAAAGCGCAAATTCGGCCCCACATGGAGTACTGCTCTCACCTCAGGGCGGGGGCTCCCCAGTACCAGCTCCTTCCACTTGACCGTATTCAACGCAGAGCGGTTCGAATCGTCGACGACCAATCCCTCTCCGAGCGGCTTGATCCTTTGGCGTTGCGTAGAGATGTGGGGTCACTCTGCATCTTCTACCGCATTTATTATGGAGAGTGTTCAGAGGAGTTGTTCGGATTAATACCTGCAGCCGAGTGTCGTCATCGGACGTCGAGGCAGAGTACGAAATTTCACCCGTATCACTTCGACGTCCGCCGTACCACAACTGAGCGTTTTTCAAGGCAGTTTTTGCCGCGCACCACCACTATGTGGAACCAGCTGCCCACTGAAGTAATCCCGAACCAATTCGACTTAGGGTCCTTCAAGAAAAGAGCGTACCAATTCTTGAAAGGCCGGCAACGCACTCGCGAGCCCTCTGGCATTGAGAGTGTCCATGGGCGGCGGTATCACTTAACATCAGGTGAGCCTCCTGCCCGTTTGCCCCCTGTTCTATAAAAAAAAAATCATGGTTTGCAATTGCTGACAATAGACATCAGCCGTAATAGTCTGGCCAGATTTGAGAAAATTGCAATGAACAATACCGGCACTAGTCCACCAAACGCTTACAAGTAACTTTTTTGGGGTTAATTTTCGCTTGGGGCAGGATTTGGCTGGCTGGCCAGGATCCAACCATTGCGCTGAGCGCTTTCGATTATCGTAAAGAATCCATTTTCCATCACAGGTAATGATTCGGTTTAAAATACCTTCATTATTGTGCCGGTTCAGTAATGTAACGCAGCAGTCGACGCGCGTTTGCCGGTTTGCTTCGGTCAATTCGTGAGGTACCCATATTTCAAGCTTTTTAATCTTCCCAATTTGCTTCAAGTGAATTAAAACAGTTTAATCACTAACACCGCAGCCTGCAGCTAACTCGGACATGGTTTGCGATGGATCCGCTTCCACAATAGCCTTTAATACTTGACTAGTTGATAATGCAACTTGGGTCTCAGGCCGTCCACGGGGCTTGTTCTGCAGGTCGAAATTTCCAGAACGAAAACGTTGGAACCAAAAACTAACTGTGTTTTCTTTTGCAACATGACCGCCATACACATCATTCACCCTTCGAGTCGTTTCCGCAGCACTAGTGCCACGGCGGAACTCGTACTCGTAAATAATGCGATACTTTAAGTTTTCCATTTTGTAAAATGAGTGACGCAAACAGAAAAAAAACAGAAGAAAAGAACAAATGAATGACGTTCATCGAAGCACAAATACATAAATAAATAGCTGTACAAATTTGAATTTGGAATTCCTTACCAAAGAGGAGAACGAAAAACCAAGGCCAGTACGAAAAACGCCAATTTCATATTATGTTAGGACCTAATATATAAAATTCTCGTGTCGCGGTGTTTGTAGTTAAAATTTATAGGTGTATTTTATAATAAAATATGATTCAGTTTACTTACCTCACAACTATAGGTACATAACTTTTCTTCTGGCCATATGGGCTTTTTGTGTCTGTTATATGGTTTAGAAGTTAAGTCATCTCTTATAAAAAAAGCGTCTTTCAATACATAGTCAAATAACATTAGTGTTAAGCGAAAGTATTGCCTAAATTTTTCGTCATTACACTACAGATGGCGACGCACTAAAATTTGAAATGCACCCTCAGTATCACGGTTTTTGAACATGACACTCTCCTCCAAACGCTTTTTTTATTTTCTAATGACTCTTCATCATCCAAAAATACTAATAATGCTATGTCCAAATCGTCCATTTTTCACCACTGCACGACCTAACGCTCGAGTGAGTACTGAGTGACTACGATTGAATACGGTCGCACTACTTTCTAGGAAACCACAGCTTGGCCACCGTAAAGACGGCCGTTAGTTAACGGCACCGCTTTTCTAGGAAACCATAGCTTAAAGTAAAAAACGTAATATTATATATACATGTATTAATTTTAAGCTATTGCATAGACTTTATCGCAGGCTTTGAGAAATTCCGTAACGAAAATAAAAAACCTAACACACGATGACTAGAGCGCGACAGAACGCATACTGCGTCTCACATCGGTCTGGCGTGATCGGTCACATAGCGCAGGTGCGTTAGAGTTGGACAGAACGCAGACGAGATCGGTGACGTAGCGTAAGCACGGCCGGTGCAGCGCCGGTACGCGTTAGAGTGAGACAGTCTATATAGGCGTGTTAGTCTGAGTCTGGTAGAGTGGTAGATTGAAATAATATCGAAGAAAATCCTTGAATTAATATCAAAGAAAAAAGTACTGCATAAATAAAAAATGCCATGCAATAGCTTACCGCGGCAGTACCCGAGTGCCACACGGTTTTTTTATTGAATTGTTTTTGGTGTAGTTATAATAATTGGTCACTCTGGTAGAAATCTTTGTCCGAAATATTGTTTGCTACGTTATAAATGATTTCATGGGTCTCTTAATGGTTTGAGCTGGTTAGTACCTACGGCTGTTTACGCATTGAACAGAACAAGTCCTACTTTTGTTGAGAAAAAAAGTCAAAAATAAAAAAGCCTAAAATTAAACATCTCCCAATTAAAGGAAGAAACTGCACAAAAAGTCTAGTATACTTATGGGATGGGTTTATATTATAATGATCATGGTCACAGACTAAGGGATCTTACATCAGACTCAATGATTGGGTCAAAAGACGTTACTTTACGACGTACGAATCTCTTAGAGATAACAATACATGCATCTTGAAAAAGTTACGAGAAATCCAAAGGACCTTATAGGTACCTAAGTGGGTATTTCGCATTAAGTTAAACACTGATATTTATATTAATAGAGATAAGGTGCAAAATGTATTTGACAAAAGAAAAGAGAATTAATATTACGAACAAACCTTATTGCAAAATTGTCAACAGTGAGAGCTCTTGACTATTGCTGCGAATTACTTATTGCTTTTGGCTCACTAAAACAAAAAACTTGGGTCTCGTTACCAGGCCATAAAATTATGAAAAAAAACAAACTTGGCGACTAAAAAGAGTGGCGAAGAGTTTATTGCCAGTTCGTATCTTCCGTTCTAAGCTCTTGGTTTAAGAACTGGCAGTAAATGTAAAAATAGAAGCATTTTTTTAAATAAATATTTTGGAGTTTACTCCTTAAGAAACGATTTGAGTTATAAGGCCCGGTACGGAAATTTTATAAGGAGTAAAATCAAGTGTAACCCGAAAAATTGAGGCGTTATGTAGAAAGAGACAAACATATATATCTGTAGGATTGAACGTGTAAAAGAATGAGATGGAATACATTACACAGACTTTTCTATTTTGACAGCCACGTTACAACATTGTCAGTGTTGACAGGTGTAAAAAATAAAAGTAGATTGTCTAGCGTGCCATAGAGTTTTGTCAATAGTAATTGGTCAGTGAAATTAAAACTAAAAAGATTGTTCATTCTTATTCTTCTCTTTCTATAAAGGTAACTTTGGTCACAGAAATTTTATGTACTATTATTATTATTATTTATATTGTTTTGTAACATACTTTATGTAATACCTACGCTTTATTGAAGTAATATAAATAATCCGAATAATTACAGATATATGTTTGTTTCTCTTATCATTTTAGCAGATGCGTTTATTTACCCTTTTTTTCTATTCGATATATATCATAATTATCGTTCGTAAGGAGTAAACTCCAATGGTGCGTCGTAGCTGACACACACAGTCTTTTTTTTAGATAATTCCCCGACTACGTTATCGTCGGTATTAAATAGCTTACGTAAATGGTATTGGTAATGCGGATGTTTAAACACTACTACCTATTTCTTTTAACAACTTTTTGTATGACCCTTAGGCTGCTGCCTCGAATTTTGCGGGCAGCGGGGCGGCAGCGGCGGCGGCGCGGGAGCGGCAGGATCTTATGCGTAAAATCAAATGGACCGGTTCTCGAAAACCAAAGCCGCCCCGCTGCCCGCAAAATTCGAGGCAGCAGCCTCACAGCAAATCCCCTACCTAATATTGAACATTATTTCCTTTAAATTCGTCTCTGTTATTTTTATGCCCATAGCTTGCTCAGAGTTATACCTGTCGTAGCCATACATACATTGGACAGTCGGTCAGAATATGCAACACTGTCTCTTCAGCTGTATCGCCACAAGGACAGGCAGCACTTTGTCTAATCCTGAACCTGCAAAGATACGACAAGAAACCACCGTGACCTGTCAACATCTGGCTAATCAATCCCGTTGGTTTCATTTGTTTAATTATCGAAAAGGCCGAAATAACATTTGGAAGGAATAACTTAGTTATTGCAGCTGTTTCGCCGTTTCGAATTTTTCTATCGTGTTTTCACGTAGACAGTTTTTTTAATAAATTAGAAGCATTTAATGTATATTTCATTTTTGACGTTCATAAGTGTACATTGTGTTACCTATATGAATAAATGATTTTGACTTGATTTGAAATAGACGTTTAAAATGACATGATGTTTAAAAATCTACCATTTTGGGAAAGAAGAAATTCTCTCTTAGCTCTACTAGGAGGATTTGAGTCTGACCATGATACTGAGAAATATATTAAAATGATAGATTCGACGGCGCCTTGTCGACATAGCATTGTGGTTTTTGATCCATTATGACCATTACATAATAACTTTTCAACAATTAACTCAGGGCTCGCCAAATTTCTTAATATCCTTAAATCCTGCGTTTAAAATCTAAGTAGGTATATGTGCGGGATGGCGCGGTAAATGAGACTGGGTAATGGACGTGAAAATGGTAAGGATATGTGTATTAAAAGCTTGGTAAGGCTTAGGGAATTTAGCGATTTTTATTTACTTCATTTGTCTTCCTCCTTTAACACATCCTATATAACGAAAACAGCACATTGGTAAAAGTTTCATAGCAATCATACTACTAAGTACTACTAAAACTACTAGCCGATACTGATAAAAACAATTAATAATCGTAATATATTCTGGTAAACGATTATGTTAATAGGTTATGAAGTTATGGCTCACTTCCTGTTCTAAGTATTTATAAAATGTACAAAGATGAAACTGTACTAAAGCATCTACCGTCGTAGTTCGTATGTTTTGTTTACACATTTAGATGATATTCGTGTCACTCGCTCTGTCGTAAATTCCACCTCCGTTACAATGTAAAATACGAGATACATTGCGCAAATATAGGTTTTTATTGTTCTAAGTAGGACACAAGATAGAGATGGGGTATAGTTTGTACAGCTTTCTTCAGGACTCTTTCTGCGTTAATTATGCCAATGATTACCGAACTGAAAAGGAGTGTGCCTAGGAATAGATAACGAAAATAAGAGTAAAGTCTAAAGGTACTTGATGTTTTATTTTATATTATGCTCACAATCTAAATACAGTGTATATTTAACTACAGAATAAATTAAAATCTGGTATTTCTATGAAATATTAGCATAGCACACCACCCGTAGCTTAACAAGTTTATAGTTTTTAGATCGTACAAAATGATTCAAATATGAAGTACCTACTATAAACATTTACAAAAACCATAGTTCACAGATTTAATATAAGTTTTTCGCATCGCAAGAGGATAAAAAAAGCAATGCAATAACATATAACGATAAAATGAATATTAAAAAATTGTTGATTTTAGAGTAAGTATTTAGATCGCTTTAATAGTCCTTCAATATTATTTACATACAATAAAGTTTTAGTACGTTTTATAAATGTAATTAGGTTCGCTTCACAATATTAATATATTTTAGCTAAATTAATAATTAATATTATATAATACAATCTTTTTACAAATTATTTACACTTAAATTAAAATAAGTAATTTTATAGATACACTTGATTACACTTTATAGCTAGTGGTAAACTTTTAATAACAAATGAAACAATATTTCTATTCTAGCACAATTGTCAACACTTTGAAACGAATAAAGATCATTTCATTAATTATGTACACTGGCAAGTCACAGCAGTTGTGAGATACGTCTCAATGAATTGTTTTAGGTGTTTTGAAAGCTATAGTTAAAAATATTAAACGTTGTATGCAATACACGTTGAACAAATACGTACAATAAATTTTTGTTTCACTCTAAATAAAGTTAGAAATGGCGCGTTCCGTTTGACAGTAATTAGCGCGTCTAGTCCAATTATAGACAATTGACAAGATCCGTCATTCCGTTTGACGCAATCAAACGAAACGCATCATTATTTCGTCCTTCGTTTCAGTTTGTCTATGACTTTTTATTAGGGTTTATGTTTTAACAAGGCTAGGTCGACTGAGACGTCTTCAATCAATAATGATATTTATAAATAAAAAACTTACATAATCTAATTCTATCGACTTTTCAGTTTCGAATTAAGATCATTATTTTCATCTTTGATAATATAAAATCACAAAACTAATTTTCACAAATGAAATATTAAGTTAGTTCGAGTCCCGCCCCTGGAGGGGGTTAGGAGAGACGGCACTAGGGGGAGGGGGGCAAACTGTCGTCGCTCTCGAGGTACGTGACGTAGTTATCTTCGGTAGAGTGCGGGGGCCGCGGTGGGGGGAGGGAGGGCATGTCGTAGCCGTGCATCTGGAGACGGAAAGGCTAGTGTTATATTTGCATGAAGTGTCTTACTTATTAGCTATTGGTACAATTTATAAGTATATGTATAGAGATTTATTCAGATTTTACTTGTATATTTGATTGATATAGAGTTCAATGACATACCTGATTGACGAGATGCTGGAAAGCGGCGCTGTGATGAGGAGCCCTGTCCAAGTCAGCGTGAAGGGCGAAGTCCGAGAGGGCCTTCCAAGGGGGCTGGTAGGCCGTCACCTGCGACCCAACTCTTTTTATATTTATTTGCTCGTCTTTGTGAAAGTGGTCAATTTAAAAGATCACTACAATTTAACAATTATTAAATAAATTTTCGATATTATTATAAATAATAATTTAGCTCTCGGCGTGTATGAACTTGTTTACTCGCAAAGACAGAGAGTAGATTTACCTCGAGCGCCAAGGCTCCGGCCGCAGCGGCGCCCGGCTCGTGCCGGACGGGGGACCCGGCCACCAGAGGCACGCCCATGGACATGTAGCCCAGGCGACGACCTTCCTGCTTGGGTATTAAGCGTCATCAAAATATTGCCACTCAAATATTCATCTAACTGATCAAGCACCATACTGACAATTATTCCAAATTAATGATACTTGAATTTTACTTAGTGAAATTTTTGATATATGAGTAGGTATGTTCAAGAATATTGAAATTTTGTAAATTACTTTTTAGCGCTATAACGCTTGGCAATGCTATATTAATTAGAATCAGGCGTTGGACTTATAAATTGAAATCAGCAAACTGACCCTTCATATCAACACAACTATTCTAAAACAGTAGACTCAACAAGACGCAGCTGTCGAAGCTGTCAATCTTCAATTGAACAGTACTTGAAACTAGATTTGAGATTGATTAATTTTTTTTATGGCGATTATAAGTGACACAGCAATAACCAATCAACTCACCTTCTCCTGTTGCATCTGCATCTTGAGCTGGATGGTCTTCTTCTTGTCCTTACACCTCTTGTTCTGGAACCACACCCTGATCACCCTCGGACTGAGTCCTGTCATCTCCACCAGCTGCTCCTTCATCAGTGCGTCAGGTCTAGGGTTGGCTGCGTAGCATGTTCTGGAAGAGTAATTATGCACTAAGTACCGAAGTCTATACACATTCTATATTTATAAAATTTACCGATGAAAAGAATAGATAAAATAAAGAATACATCATTGAAATAACAACTAACTAAGCAGATGTTTAAGTGGTAATGGGCGGGGCACATGGCAAGACGAACGGAGAAGTAAATAAAGAAAGTACCTACTAAACTGGTGCGTTGGTGCCCAAGGTACAATAAACGAAAAAGAGGAAGACAATTTAGAAGGTGGTGTAGACCAGGTAAAAGAAACAGCAGTAAGTACATGGCAGAGAGTGGCACTGTGCAGAGAGGAGTGGCGGAATTTGGAGGAGGCCTTTGAAAAAAAGGGAACACGAATACAATAATGAGATAGAAATATAAATGTGTTTAAGTGTAAAGGTATCTGAAATAAAAGGCTGTAATAATTAAGTAATGTTCCTTTAACCTCCTAGATCATATCAATACGAGATAGTTAATAAACTTTTTGTATAGTTTCAAACATAATTTTGACCTCACCGAAGTGTGTGTAGTTGCTTTTCATTGAGAACCGTTCTAACCCGCGTGGGCTTCCCGTCGGCCGCGCCACCCGCACGCGCTCTGCCGCTCTTGTGCGATCCTGACTCGCTGCCTGAATCTGGAATGATACAAGTTTACCTCCGTTAATTATTTTTCAATCTATAATCTTGAAAAAGAGAATAAGTATAAATTATACTTTATTAACGATCGAGTAAATTATATATGATATTATCACACTAATTCGTACGTAGCAGATATCAGCCGGTAGATAGTAAATTTACTTTGACTAAACTTTATGGTTCGAAATAATTCCAACAGAAAGTATAAACTGTACCTACGCCGGATAGTGGGAAATAATATCCCACTTGATTAAATTTTGCTTTGCTATTACGGATAATGGGAAATGATTTCCCACTGCAAAACCCCCATTTTCTTCCACTTTATCAAAAAAAGGATTTACCCAAAAACCACTACTATAATTTTTCTGACAAAAAAATTCTATTGAATACGATGAGATACTATGTTTATAATTTGAAAAGCTTTAGAAGTGACCAGCTAAGTACAGAACAGAAGAGCCATGAATAATGAATGCACACTGGTCCTCGGATAGGTGGATTAACTCTAGCCCCACTTCACACCTCGATAATCCTCGCCGGACCCCAATGATTAACTCGTGATTATGTATTCACTTTGATATCCTTGGACAAATTTTGTATTAGCTTATTTCATTATTGACAATTGCTTTCCTTACAAAGAATTTCATTGTTCTAATTTTCCGATACAAAATAAAATGTTTATCTACCATAACGCTTTCCTAACGAAAGAAAATTAAACTACCTTACTTATTTGTGACTTATAATAAATGGCCCATAAATTATAACATTTGATTGGCATTTCGATTTATCCAACGCAGGTTATTGTAAGTTTTTCATTAACTTGGCTTAAGAAGATGCAAAACTAACCGTCTAGTTTTGAACCCCCAGTAAAACGTGAAGGTCGCGAAACTAATTGCGATCGATAAAAAATAACTGATACTTTGACGCGGTACAATTAAACGGAGCGGCCTCTTTGTCGGCGCACTTCAAACATTGATAGCGAACAGTCCGTCACACAAGTTGAGACTAGACTTCACCTATTACGAAAAGAGGGATCCAGTTTTAGGTTATTTTACCGTAATCTTTGCAAAAAAATTCAGAACGAAATATTTTCACAAAAACACCATGTTTTAGTCTGAAAACATTTCGAATATATTATACGAATTATAAGCATTATAATGATAGATATGTAGTCTATCAGTTGATGTGGGTCTCTCCTATAATATGCCAAGCCGAGGTCCAATTCAAAAAGTCCTTTATTTCGCTTGCTCATAGCAATACAACGATATTGCATAGTGAGTTAGCTTTTACTGGAAGTTCAACTAACATGGAAAAATTACACAAATAAAAAACCATTTTCATAGCTTTGCACGTTACTAATTTACAATAATACTCTATACAGTGAGCGCATTTATCAAATTTCCTTTAAAAAAATACAGTGACTTTGATAAAGCCGCGTCGCCCAGTGTACCCTCAATCACAGTCCGATCGTGCGTCGATTATCATTGTAAACCAGAATCCGTAGTGATAAGCTGATAACGCGATATTACTCGCAACGCTTGTATCACAAATTACTCCTATTTCAGTCCAGCAGACTGCGAGGGGACTGGGTTGAAGGTTGATAATTATTCCAGTGTAGTGTAGATGCAGGTCCAACCGGCTTTTAGATTTTTTTTTGGTTTGGCTGGTGAATAAAGTTAAATCACATGCATATTTGAACAACTTTACCCGTTTATTGCCTACTGCCTAACGTTCCAGGATGACATGAGAGACGAGACAGTCATGAGAGTCCCTGACACCTGATCAGTGTTAGAAAGCCTTAGTATCTTCCTTAAGGAGTAATTAATTAATACATGCTAAGTGATGAATTGTTGTGTTCTTAAGCTACTCCAGCAGATATATCAAATCAACGTCATTAAAAAGAAAGAGAAGTGGGTACTGACCGCTCATAGAGCCCAGCTCGGGCGGAAGGTGTGAGTTGTTGTTACTGAGTGTGGTGTTGTTGTTGCTTTCTGCGTTGCTGTTACTGCTGCCGCTTGTGTTTGCACTCTGGAAACAGACACATCTTAATCATCACATATATGTGTATACAGCGGTAACAACGGATTATCTTAAACTCCTATTTTAACGGGATAGACGCTTTCTTCTGGACCAATGCGTACTACCCGACCCCCTACCTCCAGTTAAGTCTGCCCCTAGACGGAGAACAAGACATACCTACTACTTTTTTCGCGTAACGCTGGGGTGTTAATATAGAATTTGTTCCCAGTAGCTATTATGATTTATTTGCTCAATTTGACATGATTATACAACATAATATATTAAGTATGTGTCCTACGTGTTACACAACTTGGTTTTAGGAAAAAAAAGAGCACGAACCAGATACAAATGCTTGAGGCCTTGACCAAGGGTTGTCACTGATTTACTTAAAGTCACTTGGTTTATAAAGACTCAACTATTTTTTTAAGGACTTCTTCTATTTCAAAAATTGTATACGAGTTTTTTATTTATTTATAGCCTTATATCAGAAATACAAAATATATACATTATAACTATTGTTTTTCTTAATCTACGATAACTGATTCTGTGTGCCTACGTGCAAAGGCCTCCCCCATTGTCCTCCATTTTTCCTTATTGTATACCAATCTCGTCCAGCTCTCAGTCTTTCCAGCCATTTCCATGATTCCATCGGCCCACCTTTTAAATTGCCTAGCTCTGTTTCTTTTATGGCCTCTTGGTTGCCATAGTGTTTTTTTTTTACAAGTATAAAATACAGTCAAAATCTGTTATACCGACATCGAAGGGACTACATATTTGGTGGTAAAAACCGATAGTCGTAACAGTCGAAGACGTTGTTATTAAATACCTAATACAATAGAATTCAGCCAGGGCCTTTGTTTTTCGTCAATATAATATGATGTTGTTCCAAACGATATCGTCGTAAACGGTTTTGTCTGTATATGGCATCGATTGTTATATGAGAAATTCAATCAGAGGACTAACCTATGGTATTGAGGAGATAAATAAAAATACCTTTTCTAAAACATCATGGTCTTCTCTACAATACAGGGCGCCTCCTTCTCTCAACGCGAACTCGTCACCTGAAGTCAAATGTTTATATGTTATAAAGAGCTCATTTTAATCGCGACATAACAAAATAACAATAAAAAATGCTGGCGGCTCGCGTGCCTAGATTGGCGCGTGCACTACCAGTATCAAATGTTTTAATTTGTATCAAATTTCAAATTTTGGTTTAATTTATTTCTCATAACAATTTTAATTATTTAAAAATTCCACTTCCAAACGAAAGAAGATACCTATTAGTCATCTCACAAAGCCGCTGATGTATGTTCCTTTATTTTATATGAATGAATGAATACAAACCAGGTATTAATTGTCTAGCGCAGGCGCAGCATCTAAAGCAGTCGATGTGGTAGATTTTCGTTTTCGCTCGCATTACAAAGTCGTTTTTACTAAAGGAAGCGCCGCATTTGTCGCATTTTGTACCAAATAACCTGAAAATAAAATTTTATATAAAAATCCCAATTTTAATTTTATTTTAAGTTTTTTGATTTTTGTTCAACTATGATCACTTCACAGTGTTATGCAGCGTCTATCTCCCAATTTTTAAACTCAAATAGTCACTTTCTATGGTCACGTGAGTCCACTTATACCGACTGATGGTGGACAGGGGATTGAAGTTGGGGTAAAATAAGTCTGATTAATGAGGTGAACATTTAAAAATACACTAAACAATCCGCCCTATAAATGTACTAGAAAAGTTGTTCGTAATAATTGGCGCAGGGATTGTCAGATTGATATCAGAACTATTTATATAATGTATCAATTATTTAGTATCCAATCAAAATCACAATTTACCAATATTTAAAAGCCTTATTTAGAACTATATACGTACCAGAACAGTTTGAAACGTAACTATTAGCGTACAATACCATAATAATCTCGGCCGTAGGTACCTACATTGTACATAAGGTTAGTTACATTAGCTACCTACTAGTATTTTGAATACAAACCCTGGACAATTGTTACACATTCATACAACCGAAGTTATATTTTTAATTTAAACATATCAAACATATAATATTCTTATCTTATTCTAGTTCAGTCTTGTACAAGCAATTACATAATTATATCTCCCTTAATACATTATTTTAAATCCCTAAAATGCATTAGCGATTAAAAAGTGGAACTAGTATACCTAATACAAACAACCGTACAGTCTACACCTATAGCGAATGCTTTTAGCGAGATTGGAGGGTGTGCCGGTCAATAACCCCCGGGGGTTTTCAAAATGTACTTATGGATTTTCAGGTTACATCCCCTTCTAGAGAACTCCATTTAAGGGTAAATGGTGAAAGGTTTTTTAAGACGAGACAAATTGTCAAGTCGAGATCCGTGTAGCCAACTAACGCGCTTTAATTTCATAACCTCCCGAAATTCGTACGACGAAATAAAATCATTTATTATATTATTTTCTTAAATAATGCTGGTAAACTTATTTTACACAACTACATTTGCAAGAATGTAGTCTAGTTTAAAAGATAAACGAATTCCTATCATTTATTACTAATCATGTAGGTATCTGGTATACTTGTATTAAGCTCCAGGTGTTCTAAGGATATTATTATGACTTTACAGGGATAGCAAGTAAACTTTGTGTACATGTACGTGTCTCATACACTTTAGTGGATCATTAACTTTTATTCAATCTGAATTAACGCTATATACTGTATATATTTGAATAAAGTATGGAAGTAGGTAATGCAAGATTTTTATTATCTCCCTTAAGTTAAGGTGATTGTGAAAAAATTAGAAGAGCCTCTGTTGGCTGCTGGCAGCTGAAGACTTTAAAAACCTTCATGGTAGTAGGTACTAAGAGTTTAACTAGATTGTAGATATTTAACCCAATGGAATAAATGTAACGTGTAGATATTAGCAAGAGAAATTACGTTATTTTCGGTAAATGTAAGGATATCTAATTACATGGAGCAAATACATCTGTTGAGGCACTACAGCTGCCGGACCACACACATTCACATCGTGCGGGAGAAATATTATTATCACAATCATAATATATTTTTATTACCCGAAAAGTAATTGTTGGCATTTTTCTATTCAAGTTTTAAATATGAACGCGTGGAAGATTCTCATGCTAGAAAATTACTTGACTTAACTTGAATTTTAATGAAGGGGATATTGTATTTGTATGGAAGGGCAAATAAACGAAAGCTTAATTTGTAGTAATTATAGTTTTATCACCATTAATTGACTCTCGAGGTCTAATATTTAATTTGTATTTAAATATAAATAATAAACATTTAAATATTTTAAAATCAAATGTCAAGGAAAACAACAGTACACCCATGCAGCTAAAATGTACCACTATTTATTTTAGTGCAGAAACGTGGGCCAAACGTCAAAAATTTCCCGCCTTAGCGCGGGCGGGCGCCATTAGCACGTGTCAAAATATTATTTATCCGTGCCCGGCTGACGGTAACGGGACACGGCTGGAGAGTATCTGGTTTCGCTAATTGAACATCATTTTAGGGTTACAATTTAGATTAAATAGACAATTTCACTAATTTAAGACGATATTACTAACACAGAGGAAGAAAAAACTTAGATGCTTATTTTAAAATTTTAATGACCTCCTTAAAAATAGCTAACAAATTACTAATAGGACTTTGAAAAATTAACTGGGGATTGGGTAGATATGATTTAGAGACGCAAAAGAGTGATTTAACTTCGTCATCTGTCAAAATTCTATGACCGTTTGTCTCTGGCAAAATACTCGCCTACCTGCACGGTAAATTTTTAAGCAAGGGGGGTCTACCATGAGATGATAAGTTTAGGTTCCTAAATTCAATAGCAAGACCGAACGAAAGAACGATAATTTTGTGAGAGGTTTCTATGTAAGTTTTGAAATTTAACTGTCATACTTGCTTCGACATACGAGTCTATAATAATAAATAAAATCTAAAAATTATTTTAAATAATTTACCAATCACAATAAGCTATTATGTTTTAGTATATAAAATTATTTAATAAAAAACTATTCTTTTGATACATTTTAAACGAAAAGTTTTCTGGTGCTATTATAGTTGACACTTACATTAATTGTAAACTTTTCCATAAAATTTTGACAAGAGCTAAAAATGTTTTGTGTTTACAAAATTTCAGTTTTATAAATTGTTTAACTTATAAATATGATAGGGTAAATATTCTTCAGAAATTTGTTTTCCAGAAATAAATAACTATATCGAATTGAATTATTTGATATAAAACCAAAAGATATAACAAAACAAATTAGAACTCGAAAATCATAGGTAAGTTCAATACAAAAAGAAATTCCTTTTAATTGTACAAATAAAATTTATATAGTTAATTAATTTTCATACAGTAAAATAATTAACTATATTTTCTTTACAGCTTAGACTTGACTCTCGCTGAATTGAGAGACATGTTGGCGAAGAAGAGCTCTAATGAAATATATGAATATAATATGTTTATACCCAATTGAAAATTGTATGAAAACATCTTTTTCAATCTTGATGGCGTCATCCTAACTAAATAAAGACTGTTATTTGAATATTTTCAATTGGCTTATTATTTACATATTATAATTTTGAAAAATAGCTATGTTTATTTAAAGAAACAAAACATCAGAGGTGAATAATACGATTCATAAACCTAATAAGGAAAAGTTTAATTATAATATACTAGTAAAATTAAGAACCAGGCGGCGGCTTTTTTGTAGTTTTTACCTTTTAATACTTTTAATACAGATTTCTAAAGAAGGTTTAGGTGTGTAACTAATTATGCTATATTTTAATAAGTTCACGAAATCAACGCGGTCGGTAGCTGGCTTAAAATAATATGTGATATTTTAGGGAATAATGTTCATTGTTTTTGTTATACTAGTATCTACATACCTAATTAATTAATTGAATATTATTAAACATAGTTTGTACAATTGAGTCAACTCGTAGGTACCTACTCTGATTTTAACTTAAACTGAAATAACAACCTCGACATCTTCGAAGTCGGTAGAAGAAGTTATCATCAATGAACAAGAAATTATCGTCTTTTTCTTATCTCCGTCGATTTTTAATAATTTATTTATAATCACACTTCCTAAACTCAAAATTACCCCAAAATAGAACTCCATACTCCATAGGTAATATAAAAATTATAAAGTTTTTACTATATTAGACATCCTATTATTTTTCTTCATGAAATAGTTTTAATTAAAATAATGAATTTAATAACGTTCTAAACTATTATTTGGACACGTTCGATACTAAAAAGTTGAGCAAAAAGTAACTTTTCTCAAGTCTGTGATAAACTATCGAAACAGTCAAATTTTGGTTCAGTCGCGAGGTGGTGCATGTTTTCATTCAAATTGAATGAACGAAATCTGATTATAATCTATTAGATAATCTGACGTAAAAACATAAACTATTTGTTTTTTTTTGACTTCATGGTATGAAAAAGGGATGCATCACGGTTGTAGGTTGTCAATACTCAATAGGCTCGCAATAAGAGCTTATGATAAGCTAGCTATGGCTAGATAGTCTGCTAAATGCAACGCAGAAGGAAAATCGTAAAAAAAATAGATTTTTTAAAAAAGGTTTTGGGGTTATATTATCTCGGATATTAAGACATTATCACACAGCTACATTACGTATTAATAACTTATTACAGCATATTTTTGGTAAAAAATATTGTCTCACCGATTCTCTCAGATATTTTTGGAAGAAATCCTAAAGTACTATAAAACCGGTATTTTAAATCATACATTAAAATATAAAAAAATTACCTCAATGCCAACTTCAATATAAATCGAGAATATATCGCTTTTGGTCCTGTTAACAAATAATTTACATGTTTTTTGCCATCAAAATGGCTGCCGAGTTATAATATTATCAATAAGAGATACATAAATTAAATTTCAACGGACTTTTGCAAGCAAGTTTCCATGTAGGCTGCCTTGTTGAAGTGAATATCATTTATTTTAAATTAAAATCCTCGTTTAAAAGCACGAAGTTCAATCATCAAAAATGTAATAAAAGTGATTCTTGGTAAAAATTTAACTGTCCGAAATTACTAATTTGTGTTCGCGACTTTGTTGGTTTATTATATTGTTTCTCACTAATCACTCACTCTACTAAATGTATGTCATTTAAATACGAGTTTTATTAAATATGTGACAATAATGAATCCAAGTGTGGGCCAGACATGTAGGCCTTCAACCAAAACTGGAAAAATGTCATTAAAACACAAAGATTTTTTTAAATTTATAAAAAAATATAAATGCCCCAACATTCTTTAAGTTAAACCACTGGCACTGAAAATACTCTTGTAAAAATATTAATTTTGTATTTGATATTGGCTATCAGGTGTATGATTTAATCATTCGATACGAGTAGAGATAGTTTCATTATAAATTTGTTGCAATATGGTGTAGATAAAGTTTTTAAAGACTATACTTTGTGTCAACAAACATATTTTTGTGTCCATTGTTTTTGATTTTTGCATACAAATTTTCTTTTTCCGAGAGTTTGATACATTTCCATTTTTATAACGGTCTCTATCTGGACAAATGGTACCCATTAAAAAATTACGTATTTAATAAATGTTAACTTAATTGTTTTTCTTAAATAGCGATTACGCAAAAACAAAAATATTGTTAATGTAAATAGGGTTGGGTGTTAAATACCACCGCACTTTTTTGACGATACTAATTATCTAGGAGTGTCCGGGGGACCTTCATTGGAACACCTCCAAGTGAGTTTTGCTCCGGAAACGCGTCTAAATATTTTTATAAAAAATTTAAAGTTTTGTGTAATGTATTAAAATTTGTAAACAATCCGCCATTTTCTACTTTTCTATTGGTTATAAGTGATGTGACGTTCACTTAAAAAAATCGTGTTTTTAATTTATCGATTGTTAATAATCGTTTTATTTATTTATCGATTATTTCCTCATTTTTGAAATTTAAAGTTATAGAATAATCAACATTGAAATTAACCTAATTTCGTGTTGATAGATTATAGGGTTCCGAAATTTTTTGAAATTATCGATACCTACTCGTCTGTATTTTCTAATTAGTACTTGTATTTCATTGTTTGCAACTTTCTATATTATTTAATTTTTACTAGAATAAAGTGTTTACTTTAATATCCAAAAAGTACCCAAAACCGAATCAGAGCACCCCACTATCCACGTGGTCTTGTCTGTCTTACCCCTAGAGTGTATATAAATAATCGGAGGCGCGGAGGAAGAGCAGCCCTCTAAAATGCCTGTGCTTTGGTACGCAAGGGTGGAGGGGCTGCATTTCCCGTAGCGCCGGAGCTGTCCACAAAAACAAATATTATTTAGATTGGTTAGGTTAGAGTTAGTATATGAATATTTGGTCGCCGAAGGCGACCAGGACGCCGAGAAGCCGAGGCTTGAATAAACAATTACTATTTAGATCGGAGCTGTCCACAAAAAAAAATATTATTTAGATTGGTTAGGTTAGAGTTAGTATATGAATATTTGGTCGCCGAAGGCGACCAGGACGCCGAGAAGCCGAGGCTTGAATAAACAATTACTATTTAGATCGGAGCTGTCCACAAAAAAAAATATTATTTAGATTGGTTAGGTTAGAGTTAGTATATGAATATTTGGTCGCCGAAGGCGACCAGGACGCCGAGAAGCCGAGGCTTGAATAAACAATTACTATTTAGATCGGAGCTGTCCACAAAAAAAAAATTATTTAGATTGGTTAGGTTAGAGTTAGTATATGAATATTTGGTCGCCGAAGGCGACCAGGACGCCGAGAAGCCGAGGCTTGAATAAACAATTACTATTTAGATCGGAGCTGTCCACAAAAACAAATATTATTTAGATTGGTTAGGTTAGAGTTAGTATATGAATATTTGGTCGCCGAAGGCGACCAGGACGCCGAGAAGCCGAGGCTTGAATAAACAATTACTATTTAGATCGGAGCTGTCCACAAAAAAAAATATTATTTAGATTGGTTAGGTTAGAGTTAGTATATGAATATTTGGTCGCCAAAGGCGACCAGGACGCCGAGAAGCCGAGGCTTGAATAAACAATTACTATTTAGATCGGAGCTGTCCACAAAAAAAAATATTATTTAGATTGGTTAGGTTAGAGTTAGTATATGAATATTTGTCGCCGAAGGCGACCAGGACGCCGAGAAGCCGAGGCTTGAATAAACAATTACTATTTAGATCGGAGCTGTCCACAAAAACAAATATTATTTAGATTGGTTAGGTTAGAGTTAGTATATGAATATTTGGTCGCCGAATTTTCAATTATTTTTAATATTAAAATCGAATACAAAAAATCGATTTTCACTTTTAAAAAAATCGATTATTTTTCACATCCCTATTAATTTTATAAACTTAATCGGCCATTTTGAATGTGGTTTATGCTAGACTAGCGGTAATTAGTTTTACAGTGCAAAGTTTACTTTATAAATCTTTATAAAATTTTTGACGCGTTTCCGGAGCAAAACTCACTTGGAGGAGACCTCCGAGACTCCTAAATAATTAGTATCGTCAAAAAAGTGCGATGGTATTCAAATATTGTTAATGTAAATAACCTACGAAGTTCAGTTAAATTTTCTCTCTGACCTTGCCTCTCCTACTTAATCGGCAGAGATAACTACGAGCAATAGTTTTTAAATTTTCTTAAAAATAACGATTATTATAATACACCGGATAATTAATTAATTGATACGTCCTTCCTCTCACCGGATTTATTAAAATACTTATGTTTCCGATGTTTACACAGCCAGACATACGATACCCCGGCAAATGTAAACATGGCGGGTTGTATTTCCTTACGGAAGGGTTAATTTTAACAGGTAAAAAATAGTTTACCGGTCTGTCAAAGCAGTGTTAGGTAAGTGAAAAAAGTCCCTCTATCCATATAAGGTACCTAATTATTATTTTGTGTTAGTTGTTACTATGATAACCTTTGATTACGTGAGTACCTAATATAAATTAATGCACCGTTGATTGAACTAGTAGGATTAAAAGATAGGCACAATACCAGAATTAGCAAAATCTTATAATCGCTAAAAATCTGTGACACGTTTATGATTTCTTGTTTAAATTTTATTAAGTTTTAAATAATATCTATCGATTGTAGCATAATAAATAAATAATATAAACCGTGGCGATGATAAATGGAGATGTAAATGAATGAACCTCGAAAACTGTGAGAAATACTAAAATAAACGTTAATAAAAACAAATAGTACATTACAAAAATGAATCGGACGGCTTTTCCGATAACGCACAAACATATAGACATATCGAGTTCCAGCCGCCCGCCGCGCTGTCAAACTGACGTTTGTTTTAACGCCAAAATACATAGACTCAGTTTGTTTTTCTCGGCGCATAGAGCAAAGACAATCCCGATATACAGCCATCGATAGCTAAGGGAATTTATTCTCTGTTACTAGAGAAATAAAGGCGTTCGATTCGAGTGCAGCCTAAGCTGTTTGCTAATGTGTAATTCTATATTTTAGCCGCGTGATAGAAGGGTGGAAATGTAAACATAAGTTATTTTAGATGATGCGACTTTGTTTAAAAATTGGCGCCAACGTTGACGTGAGGTTATGATTTTTTCGTGTTTTATTGTAAACTATGATCTGAAATTGGAATTGTTGAGTTTATAATTGGATTGTTATTGTTTACGCGTCTGTCAGCTGAGAGGTTAACGACTTTCAACGGTTTTGTGTTAATAAAAATTGTCAATGAATAAAAATATAACCGTACAACATGATTCATATTTTGAAGTGCTTTGTGGGAAATCCACTTGAAAATAGCAAATACGTATTGAGTACTTAATAACAGGTACTTATGAATATAATAGTTATACAACAAAAACTTTTTAAAGAGAATATAGATACAGTCACAAAAATATAATATTAAAATAAAAAGCCGTGGACCAGAAGAATTTCTTGAATTTCTTGCCCGTTCTTCTCGGCCAATTGACACCCTTAATTTGAGAAGTAAATCTATTTAAAGAAATGATAATTCATTGTCACAGGCAGATCTGATGTAAGCCTATATAGCAACATTAACTGTTTAATAGAAGTTACGAGAAATTCGCATCGGAGTGCTAATTAAGCCTAAACAGCTTATCATACGCACACCTAACCGGAATACGCTTCTTATTGAATCATTGTTTATTAGTTATTCACGGATTTGGTTTTATTTATAGACATTGAACTGTGGTTCAGTGAGTCACAGAGGTTGTTTACTCCATACCCCTGGGGACGATTCCAACTAATAATTGGTTTGTACTGTAATAATAAAAATACTGTTGAACAGCCACGGATGTGTGACCAAGTTTATTGGTGGTTTTGCTGAACGAAAGCTTTCTTTCGTAATTTTCATATAATATATATTTAATAATAAGTAAATAAAGTAAAACTATCTACTTAAATAATAAAAAGAAATTTAAACATTTAGACTCTGAAACAAAATGACCTGCCTAGAGGTGAGAACAGTACCTACTTAATGTGGGGCCGAATTTGCGCTTTATACAGGTGCAAGCGGTGGCCCGGAGTGAAGTACTGTCTTGTTTTGCTGAGCACACCAAGCTTTTTGGAGGATAATTTAGCCTTTCCCTCCAAATGACCGCGAAACTGAACGTCGTTCTATATATCAACGCGAACTATTCTGATGCTGGATGTGGCTTTAAGAAGAATGTCTTCGAAAAGAGACATTAGTATAATTTGTTTTAATATAAACGTAGAGGCTTACCTAGTGTAGTCTCGTTTGCAATACGTCTTCCCGTCCCTGACAAAGCAGGTACAGGACTCGTCCAGGAACTGTCTACACTCCTGACACTTGAGGCAGGCGGCGTGCCACTCCAAGTCCGGAGCCACCCTCAGGATGTACTGGTCGTGGATCTGACCGCCACACCCCACGCATAGTGATAGCCGGAGTTTTTCTGTAAACAAAATGTCCTTACATTATAATGATACAATTTTTTTTTTGCGAACTGTGGAATCGTCTCGCGATGGGGGACTTCCCTGAGAGATATCTCCAGTTGTTTAAAGTAAGAGTTTACTCCTCCCTCAAAGTCCGGCAACGCACCCACTAAAAATAGGTGTTCATGGGTTAGTATGACTGCCCTTTTTATTTATTTATTTATTTATAGGACCTAAAACAACATGTATGCTAGAAATATACAAGAAAATATGATTTCACACATTGTTCACACATACCTCACATACACATCAATTAAATTATGGGCGTCCCATAGACTCGCCCCCCTAAGCTATAAAAAAATAAATGTCTAGAGATTATGTAGAAAAGTGATCTTTTTTTTTAAATTTTGGTCCTGATTTAATGGCTATGCTGAATGTATTTTTTTATAGAACAGAGGGCAAACGGGCTGGGGCTCATCTGATGTTAAGTGATACCGGACATGGACACTCTCAATGCCAGAGGGCTCGCAAGTGCGTTGCCGGCCTTTTATTAATTGGTTGACTCTTGAATTGGTAATGAGCTTTGTTATTGAAATTAATTACTGAGCAGTTAAATTAAGCTAATTTCGGATATTCCTAAGTCCTAACCATCCTCTTGGGATCGTAGATTCACTCCAATGGGTCCATCTTCTCTTTCCATTTTTATGCAGAGGCATTTAAAGGAGCAGTGTTGGCCTAGTGGCTTTAGCGTGCGACCCTCACACCTGAGGTTGTAGGTTCGACCCCCGGCTGTGCACCTATGGACTTTCTTTATATGTGTGTATTTAACATTCGCTCGAACGGTGAAGTAAAACATTGTGAGGAAACCGACATGTCTTAGACCTAAAGAGTCGACGGCGTGTGTCAGGCACTGGAGGATGACCTACTTGCCTTTTAGATTTAAAAATGAGTCAGATTCAGAAATCTGAGGCCAAGACCTAAAGAGGTTAAGAGGAGGAGGTAGCGCCACTGATTAATTTTATTTTTCATTTTAAAGGTTAGCTCGCTGGTCGTGAGCTAACTGGTTTTGTAAGAAAAATGCTACGATAAATCTGCAGGTCTACGCTACATAATATGTTTCTGAACTTTTAATTACTCAACTTCGTACATAGTTTTAATTTGAGAGGCTCATTATTACATGAACAAAAGCTTGACACTCCAATTATTAATATACCTACCTAAAGCAGACATAACTACATATAGGTATATTGTGATTGGCTATAAATCATGTTATACAGTAAAAAATGAACTTTAATGCCCTGTTATTCACGAGAGACAAAATAGAAGAAATATGAATAAATTATAATTGTCAGAAATCGATACAGACGGGGCGTGGTCGAGCCCCGCCCAATCGTAACTGGGAACCTATGTCTGTCGCCATTGTTGCTTACTCTTTTACACTTTTTATGGGATTTGAGTGTAACCATAAAACTCTAAGTCTTGGACCCGGGTCTATTATTACCCATTTGTCGTTATGTCTATAGAAGGTGTAAAAATGACCGAGAAACCGTGGCGTATACATAATACAAACTGCCCGATATTTTCACACCTTAATCATGCAACTCACTGTGATTAATTCTGCTACAATCATAGGTAGAATAGAATATTTACCTCTATTGATAAGACGTATGCTAATCAATAAAACCTACCTGCCCTGCGATTCTGTAACTCACTTTTCGAACTCAAAATTTCATTTATTCGTGTAAACAAGCTATCTTTGGAAGGCCATAAAAATGTACCTACACTTGTGAACGTCAGTAATAAGATATGCTAAAAAAACAATTAATGCTGCTAAATTTAGATTTACTGCCAGTTCTCAAATCAATTGTGTAGACTTGGAACTCTCCGTCTCTCGTCACGTTCATGTTTGTAATCAACATCATATTCCTCATTACATGTTAAAGCAGTAATTATTGTAATTAAATAGAAAGAATGAATAAGATAACCAAATGTTTAACCTTATCAGCAATGCAAATAGAAGCATGCAGCATTGAAAATTAGGTACTCTGGGAACAACACGCAATAAATCTAAATTTAATAATTAAACACGAAATCAAAAAGGCATAATTTCATCTTCGAGGCATTTTAAAAAGTTACTACTAACATGCTTTTTGTAATTAAGTTCCGTAAATACATCAAATAAAATAAAATCCCGTAAACTGCGTTAACTGCTGCGTAACTGCTATTAAAGAGCGTAACGTGATCGCGTTATGCATTGTTTAACTAAGTGTAATAAATTCCAAAAAGAGATAAGTACAATCACCAATTCATCTGCATCTTTTCATTATCGGTTTAAATCGCGCGTTTTTCTTCTTATTTAGGAACAGTAATCCTCCTGCAGTAATCCCTCCTATAACACAGTAGATTGATTCCGCGTTATAGGAAACGCGTTGTAGTAGTATTCTCATATAAGAGAAAACTATGTTATTAACGAATAAGTGCGTACAAATCATTATGAATGTCATAGTAGGGAAATATAACGTGTGCCATCCCCGCGTTAAATGGGGGAATACCCGTGTTTTACGAGGGTAATCGCGTAATATAAAAATGCGTTACAAGAGTACCGTGTTATAAGGGAGTTTACTGTATATTACTAAATAAGTCCCCTGGTGTATACGTCTGCATGACCGTGCTAAACTGAATACTAATGTATTAACGGAATATTCGGTTTCTAGATAGTTTGGTATCCTAATGAAAGTGTATAATATAGTTGTATAGTCGTAGTAGTAAGTGTATGTATAATTCATTTTGGTTTCATTGAAATTGACTAAGCTAATGATTATTGTAACTAGGTACACGAAATCCGCGTAGGTGATTCAACCCAAGCTAGTATAACAGTCTAAGCATTCTGAACTGTGTTAAATCCATAAGATCTTTTTTTTTTTAGGAAAAACTCTTGGGCCGTGGGGTTCAAGTGCACAGGCGCTTTTTAAAGATTTAAGTTGGCGCCTAGTAGATAGTACCAGTGACCCCAGAGCAGGTGATTTCCTCACTCATTGAATAATTATCGAGGAAATGCTGCCAGCGTTAAAGGTACACTGCACACAAACTTTTTAAATTTGTTTTAATTATCTTTTTAATAATTTTTATTATTGTATTGTCTTTTATTGACATAACTTTTTCAATTTTTATTATTACTTTGTAGGTTAAGAAAATTGTAAATACTGTATTTTGATTGTGAATAAAGTTTAGTTTTAAAATTATTTTAAAGGGGGAATCAGCTAGATACATGTATATTATAATTGAAGAGTATTTATAATTTGTATCCGACACTATCGACATAATTTTATATTCGCACAGTGAGGTCAAAGTAGCGATATTTTTTCGACATTGTATATTTTTGTGAACAAGTAGGTAAATACCTAAATGTTTCGCACACACATTTTCAAACGAATGGATAATAAAATTGCTCAATTGTTACATTTTCATGTATAATTTAAGATGCATTATAATTTTACAATCGCTAATTGAGGTTTAAGGTAATGACAGGAACACTTGTTTTCTTTGATTTAATGAGTGTATAACTGTTTTTAATTTGAAATAAAAATGATTTCCCACTAATGGCACTTTTCCTGTCATAAAAAAATACGTAATCCCTCGAATGTTCCAGACATGAGCTGACTGAACTCTTTCGTCTCTTTCTGTTTAATTGTGTTTAGGCCGCGATATAACGAAATAGAACATAGAGACCAATTCGACTTTTTTTTAATGAACGTGGTCATGTTTATGTATATATATTTACAAAAAATCTCTCAACATTTGTTAACATTGTACCTATTCGATATCAACAATTGAATAGTTTGAGTACCTAATAAATAAGAGGAACCGTAGACAATAGATACGTCTCCCATAATCTATATTTCACTTTCAATGAAATTCTGACCATAGATTTAAGTTTTAACATATATGCCTAATAATACATTTTCTTCAACACAACTTTGTGAAGCCATAGTTATAAAAAAAATTAAATATAATATTTTAAACGTGATTCAAATCTGATTATTGAACTGATTATTTAAAGAATACAAAGGATACGACATATTTTGCGAAGAATAAATTAATATTTTTAATTAGCCGCAAGATTAAATAAACAAATAAAAGTCGGAATCATTAAAAAAGTCGTAAAACGTTGGTACGTAAGCCGTTAATTAGGTATTAACGGAGCCATAAATAAAAATTAACGACAATTAACTATTTGGCTCTATAAATGTCTCGGTAGTTTTGTAATTATTTATGACTCTTTTATTGATATTAAAATGGCAAAGCACTGTCAGATTTTATAAACTTAGCATTTGTTAATAAATGTTACAAACATTTTTCCTATAGCAGGCTTATCGTAGGTACTTTTATGAATATATCATCTAATAATAATAATCAGTGGCGCTACAACCTCTTTAGGTCTGCGCCTCAGATTTCTGAATCTGTTTCATGATCATTTTTCAATCTAATACCAAGTAGGGGATCAGCCTCCAGTGCCTGACACACGCCATCGACACTGTTTGGGTCTTAGACATGTTGGTTTCCTAACGATGTTTTCCTTCACCGTTCGAGCGAATGTTAAATGCGCAAATAGAAAGAAAGTCCATTGGTGCACAGCCGGGGATCGAACCTACGACCTCAGGGATGAGAGTCGCACGCTGAAGCCACTAGGCTAACACTGCTCTGAATATATCATCTACTTCCATATAAAAATTAAAGCTGAATTGTGCGCTGTTGCAACGACCCAAAGGAGTCAATAAAATCTCAAAGGGCAATCGTTGCAGCACATAGACACCAATTTTATTGGTTGAGTTGCCGGCCTTTGTATCTCCCAGGAAAACTCCCACTGGGAGTTGATTCTACAGTTCGCTATATCGCAAAAGAAGTCTTGTGAAGCGAACGCTGGAAGTCATCAAGGTATTAATTTAATATTGTCTAGATTAATAACGAATGATCAATCAAAAAAGTTTGACTTCTATTTTCAAGTACAGTATTCAATAATACTGAAAAGGCTAGTTGATGTTTATTTTCTAGGACGTTTTTTTTCTAAGAGAGCATGCGTACAAGGGTAAATTATAGTTTAACTATTTGACACAAAGTTGACAGGACAGGGAGTCAAGACACATTATGGCCAGCGGAATGTGGGACACTAAGTGTATTTACGAAGGTAATTACGATTTAAATGTATCAAGAGCTATCAAAAGACATAATTAGGTAATTAAGATAAGTGTGGAAATTAACTGAAATTTCGCAAAGACAATAATCAATTTACCTGTCATATAGTGGTACATCCGGTTTGATCCGGTCCGGAGGTGTAAATGAACAAACATTATCACTTAACACGACACTACCGAATAAGTAAGGTGACAATTAAGATGTTGTTTAAACCCATTTTGAGAAAAATACAATTTTTCCAAATTAAACTCAGTGTGAGAAAGTAGGTTTTATTTTACTTCTAGGTAATGTTAATTACATTACTTAACAATTTTCTAAGCATTCAATTTAGGTATATATCTGGTAATATAGCCTCATAGATCTAGTGGATAACAGGTTCGAAGCTCGGATGGGGCCTAAAGGCTAAAACAAACACACGTCATTACAGTGGTAGCGTTTAAAAAAACACATTTCAAGAGTAGCTTAAAGTTACGAAGTTAGCGTTGTGCCTCTGATGAATAAATCTGT